TTGTGGTGTGTGTGTGTTTCTCACGCTCCTCGTCTAGGGAACGACAAGCCAGACTTTTCTGGTGCGGTCAGTCCAGGAGAGAAGCTGAAGGTCAGTTCCGACTGCCTACTGACTTGCCCTTCGCCGCCCGCCCTTTCCGTACTTTACTTTACGGAGAAACCCCCATTTTACTGGCTCCGGCGCGTTACCACCGCGTCTTCATACCGTCCGATACGCGTCTTCTACTCTAGTAGATAAGCACTTTAGCTAGCAAAGTTGGTCTCTATAGCCAGCAACAGAACGGTTCCTGTCTGGTCAGAAACACTCAGAAACACCCCCATCTGGACGGTTACCAGTACCATACCAACGCGCATCACATCATCTCCTGGACTATCCGGAGCCGTATGTCCGTATGAATGCCTTCATCCAGAACACCACAACAAGAACAACTGCAATTCTATTCACTTAATAACAGAACAACTGCTATCTGAATGCACTGGAATCATACAATAGACCAACAATCCAACAATACTTATATAAATAACACTAATACAATTATCAAATACTTCCATTCATTCACCTAGTATTCACTCCCATCCCAACTTAGCCACATTCTCTCTCTCTCTCTCCCTCATCCGTGTTCTTCCCAGTCCGGCCCTCCGATCTCCCTCTCTTCCCTCTCGTTTCTCTCTCCTATCACGAAAAGGAAAATGAAGGAAAGGGAATGAAAAATATGGATCGCCCGTCCCGCCTGGCGCCGCTTAGACTTTTGGGACAAAAAAGAACGAACGAACCGCAGCCGCTTCCGGCTTTCCTTCCCTTCACTTAAACTAATTTTTCCCATTAATTCGTAAGCGTTCAAATTAATTTCCATGTTTTTTTTAATTTAGTTTGGTTTTCTTTTCCTGGATGATGATCAATTCGATCCATCTGTTTGCACCTGATGCACCGCAGCAGATAGGTTTACTACATACATACTTTGAACTAAAAAGCCATGCATCGTGCATCAGCTGAGTCTTATTTCCAAGAAGGAGAAGTACAGAATAGAAGATGAAAGAATCAAATCTTGGGAGTGGAATAAATGACTTTTCTTTGAGGGGGCCAACTGACCCTAACCTACTAACTATACTTACTAGTAACATCTAGCTACATAAACCCCCTTCCCCTCAAGCCAAGTAACAAGGATCCGGAGTACTAAATGTCAACTATCCAGGGGTGTCCGAAGTAAGTATCCCGTACAGAGAGTGAAAAAAAGAGGGGGTAAAAAGGGAAGCTCGGAGCAATCAATCAATCAATCAATCAATGAATCAACCAACCAACTATCTACTTGGGTACCGCTTGCACTAAAAGGAATCAATCCATGAAATCCCTCAGTGAACCAGCATATCTGGCCCCGATCGGCCAGGCTGCCTTGCCTTGCCACCCATCACTATTATTCCATGGTCAACATTCATGACTTGTCTTCTGTATTACAGTTGGTTAATATGTAGGTAGACACTGGGCTTAGTACTTTGAAACTCGAAGGTGATAATACATTATTGGACTACCTCGGTCTACGTTTTCTATATAAATGTGGTTGCTAGGGACGGATGAACAGGCCACGCAGTCGCTGCGGCAAGATGGGGATACTGCCTCATGGCTGAATTCTAAGCCGGACAGACTACTATCATTTCATTATTGTGTAAATTACTTCAATACTAGTAGAGATCGACACCACCACCATTGGGATTAATCTACCAAATGAATAATACTATCCAGAGTAATATAACAATCATACTCAACCACTTCATACAAACAATATATATTCAAGATACATATGCATTCTACTGCCAAGAAAGAAAATACAATATCTTCACTTTACTACACTTCACTCAATCAATCCGCCTTCCCCTGCTTCTTCCGTCGAATCACCTCCCCAACCGCCTGCTGCACTCCCGGACTAGCCCGAACACTGCCCAGCACCAGCGCCTCCTTCATGCCCTTCCGCAGCGCCGTCACGCCCTCACGATCGCCCTTGAACGGCGCAAACCCCAACTGCAGTAGCCGAGTCGCTTCGCCATCCGTCGCCCGGGAGAGCTGCGCCAGCTGACCCAGTTTTTGCATGGTCTGCGGATGCAGACGATCGCCCGGGGCAGACGACGCCCGTTTACTAATCTCCGGCGGCGTGACCTGCGAAATGAAGATATGCAGTGTGACTGAGGCACGCTGGGCCAGTGTCAGAATCTGAAATGGCAGGAGATAGAACTCCGGGCCCTTGGACGAGAAGCCCAGCAGGCCCTGCAATCCGGCGGGGATATAACTCCACGGGAGCAGCACTGCCGCAGGACGAGTAAGTAGGATCGACTCGAGGGTAACCAGCGCGGCGAAGGTGAAATAGCGCCACTAGATGAAGCACACATAGTCAGTAAGTCATTATCACATACCAGTCCAAGTCGAAGAACCCCAACCTAAGTAAAAGAAGGAAATAGAGGAAACTCACATAACGTCCCCACTCCGACCAATACGTAAACTGCAGCACCACAATAGTAACCAACCCGATCACATACTGCGGCAAAGACCGCTGCAACCCAGCCATAACAAACTCCTGCAGGGTCCTCTTATCGCCCCAATTCAACATGTCCGGGCCGTACATATCATACGCGACCCGCTTCACAGGGTCGAGGAGTGTATCCTGCGCAAGTCTCAAATACACGAAGTAACTGTCCGACACGGCGCCGCCGACCTTATCTGGGTGATGCTGGGCAGCGAGACGACGGAAGCGCGATTTGATAGTGCGTTCATCGGCGAAGGGAGAGACACCCAGGGCGCGGTAGAAGTCGCCTGCAACTTGTACGCGATGGAAGGTCTCATAGAGTGTGTAGAGGAGGTAGCTGGTCACGACGAGGATGTAGATGCGCCGGCGGTGTCGCGCATAGCGCGGAGTGCCAGGCTGAGGGCGGGGTTCGCCTGCGCGGATGGTGATGCCATAGTAGACGCTTTGAACAATAGACGTGACGTACTGGATGCGAATGTGGTTAATGATTGAGTGTTCGGTGCTGCGCAACACGGCGCTTATAGAACGGCGGAGGGAATGGACACGGTACTCACGTTTGGGAGGACAGCCCAACCGAAGAAGGAAAGAAGCGACGACATGGGCGGAGCAATATCTCAACAAGCTACGCAATATTCAAAAGCTCCATCAATTCGTCAACCAAGTATCAACCGAAAGAAAGAGCGACAACGACCAGAGTGCTGGTCCAGAAGGTTGTCTGTCTATGCTATGCCTCCAACCAACTAATCGCCCACTCCGATAGAGGCCCGCCTCACCGCCCACCCCACCGCCCGCCTCCACTCGCAAATCCGAAAAGAAAAAAAAAATGTCAAGAGGGAAAAAAAAGGCATCGAGTTCCACCGGCATCAAATCAATCAACTGGACCTCTCTCCATTGCGCCGCCAACTTCCCTCCCCAATTGACACAATGGCCCTCGACGCAATGGACCTCGACCCCCACCCGACAGGGCCCGCCAGACAATCCTCGCCCGAAAAAGACCGCAAGCGCAAACACAAGGACACCACATCACCCAGCAAGAAGAAGCGCAAGCACGAGAGCCATGCCTCTACCAGCAAGAAGAGCAGCAGCAAGACCAGCACCAGCACCAGCTCCAACAGACCTACTACTACGATTCCCGACTCCCCCTACACCCTCACCACCGCAACGCTCTACCTCCCACTCTCTCCGATCTCCATCTCTCCAACCCACGCCCTAGCCTCTTTGCTAGCAGAGCATCTCTCCCCGCTCCTCCTAACCTACTACGCACCGCTCAAAGGCATCGTTCTCGCCTACTCCAATGCCTCGATCTCCAGCACCCCGCCCTCATCCACCAACGTCGTGAACGCCGAAGACCCCAACCTCCCGCAACCACTTACTCTCGCCCGCACCGCCGGCGAATACGGCGTCCTGTACGTCTACCTCACGGCCACCTTCCTGGTGTTCCGGCCCCAGCGCGGCCAGATCCTCGAGGGATGGGTGAACGTGCAATCAGAGGGATTCCTGGGCGCCATCGTCCTGAACTTGTTTTCCGTGGGCATTGAGCGGAAACGTCTACCCCCGAGCTGGAAGTGGATTCCTCCCGGTGAGGAATTGGAAGAGGAGCAGCAGGAGCAGGGGCAGCAGGCATCCACCACGGAGAACGAGGGCGATGATAGTGACTCCTCCAACTCCGAAACCAAGAAATCTGCATTCGACCCCGCCAAGGAACTCTTCCGTCCCATCGCCCTCGCCGAGGACGTGAACCCCCTCGCTGATACGGATCCCGCTTCCACCTCTACCAACAACAACGCGACGGGCGACTACGACGACGACGAAACCGCCGCCGCGGAAGGGTACTTCCAGTCGGTGTCTGGCCACCGCGTGCGCGGCACGATCAAGTTCCGGGTCGTGGATGTGGATGTGATTCCTGGGTCGGAGCGGGAGAGCGGATTCCTGAGCATTGAGGGTACGATGCTGGATGAGGAGGAGGAGAAGAGGGTTCTGGAGGAGGAGAGGACGGGTGTGGTTTCTTCTGCTCCTTCTAGCTCCTACGGTGGTGGTTCTACTGGCATGACGCCCAGAAAACTAGGCTCGGTGACTACCATGTCTGGTGCTTTGGCGATCCGGTCTGCTTCTGCGTCGGTGGCGCCGGAGCCGGAGGTTGTGGATGTGCATGTGGAGGAGTCGCCTAGTAAGAAGAAGTCGTCGTCGTCGAAGGAGAAGAAAGAGAAGAAGGAGAAGAAGTCTAAGTCTTCTAAGAAGGAGAAGAGTAAGGAGTGAGTCAGTCAGTCAAGTTGATGATTGAATGAAATGAGTGGGATGGGGTGGGATGTGGAAGGTGGAATACTTGACTTGTTTATAAGTATGTGCATGTTATATAGTATTTTTCTTTCTCTTTTTTTTGTGTATCTGTGTATCGTATTCAGCTTTGTTTGTGGCTGGCGTTAGATGGGAATATCAAAAAGATTTGGTTTCTTTGACCGTGGTTGTTGTTTTTGGTGGTGTTGGTATATCAGAGCTGGAGTACTTCTGGGAAGTTTGGAGAACAGGAGTTGGTCATGCGCATTGAAACAGGCTGTTTGATCAAGATATCTACGCCAGTGTGGCTCAGGCTTTCAGATACTAATATCGGCGCACGCTGTCACACTAGTAGTGGACATAATAGTTGTAGTAGTTAAGTGGTATGATTCTACAGGTTGTCTCCGAAGCGGAATATATATCACTCTACTGTAGACCATGGATTACACAATATTCGGGTTCAATTCAGGTATATTAATTTATCATTGCTAATTTAAATGCAATTAGATCCTCACAGACTCAGGCACACCCACAGTCAGCACATCCACTCCACTCTGGATTTGCGATTTGGTCGGCATATTCTTCCGCCGCATCAGTTCGGCAGACTTGACCATCACCGGGTCCATGCCCATCGTGGCAACGGCCACCACCGTGTCGCCCTTGCAGTAATACGCAGCGAACTTGGCGTTCTCGGGCTCTCCCTTCATCACCAGATCGTCCCATCCACCCACGGTGCTTCCGCAGTAGCGCAGCTGGGCACCGAGGGCGGACCAGAAGATTGGGATAAACGCCTTGGGCTTGAGCGATTGCAATGATCCACTGTGGACAATTGCGCGCGCTACTCCTCGTCCGGCATTCTGGGCCACGTTCCAATGTTCGATACGGGTGTATGTGCCCTTGTCCTGGTCTGCTCCCGGCCCGTGGTACGGGTAGGTGGCGATGTCGCCAATGGCAAAGACGTCGTCGTTCAATCCTGGGACCGCGAAGTGCTCGTTGGTCTTGATGGATCCATCCTGCTCGAGAGTGACGGATGGGTTGCCTTGAAGGAAGTCAGTAGCGGGACGCACTCCCACTCCGAGAATGACCAGGTCTGCTGGAAGCACGGTGCCGTCTTTCAGGTGGACTGCGCCGACCTTGCTGGAATCCGTGCTGGAGGGCGTCGCCTTGTCCACGCTGGCGGAAAGCTTGAACTTGACGCCCGCCTTCTCCAGGTTACCTTGGAAGATGCGGCCGACCTGCTCGCCCATCACGCGTTCCATCGGGGCCTTCTCCATGCCGACGATGGTGACGTCGTTCTCCTTGGCAAGGCAATTGCCCACTTCCATACCGATGAAGGAGCTGCCGATGACAACGACCTTCTTGTTCTTCTGCTCGCCCAGTGCCTGGTGAATGGCCTGCACGTCCGGAATGGTGCGGAGCACGAAGATATTTCCAAGGTCCTTGAATCCTTCCTGAGGGAGGGTGCGCGGCACACCTCCTGTCGCAAGGACCAACTTAGTGTAAGGGTACGACTTGCCAGACTGGGTGGTCACCGTCTTCTTCTGGAAATCAACGCCCGTCACATCATCATGGGCGACCTCAATAGAAGCTTCCTCATACCACTCCTCAGGCCGCCACTGGATCTTCGCGGCATCAGCAATCAGCGCCTTGGATAGCTTCGTACGGTCAATAATGAGGTTAGGTTCGCGGGTGATGACAGTGATGGCACCCTTGTACTTCATTTCACGGATCGCCTGAACCACACCAAAAGTACCACTTCCACTGCAGAGACTCCGTTACTATCTGACCCTAACTTCCACAGAGGACTCGACTTACCCGCCAACAACAACCAACTTCTCCTGCGGCGAAGCACTACACTTGACAGCGGGATCTCTCTGAGCCGCCTTAACATCGGCTTCATTGGCATTGATATAGACAGCACCATTCTTCTCGAACACCTCGAATTTCTTCAACGCATTCGGGGCCGGCGCATCTTCAACATCACCAGTCTCCACATTAAAGCAAGCTATGCAACATCGACATTAACGATTCACTCCTACTCATTCACATCTAAATCAAGCAAAAGAAAGAAAGACTTACCACCATGCCAAGGACAAGTAATCCTCCCCTCAGGAGCCACCACACCCAGCTTCAACGGCGCACCATAGTGGGTACACTTGGGGGTCATAGCGTGAACCTGACCGTTATACCTAACCAGGAGGACCTTTCCATCCTGAATCCCGTCGACCTCACACTCGACCTTGTCCATGTCCTTGACGTCCGCCAGGGACGTGATGTCCTTGAGTTTGTAATCCTGGGCCATTTTGAGGGAATTGGTGGAGAAGGGTGTACGTGATGATGCTCGTAAGGAGGGGTGGATGGGAAGAGAGGAGGGGTTTAATTTCGTAGCTGAGGAACAACAAGAAGAAGAGGATGTGAAAGATCTAGAGGAAGCCGAAGTGGGGTGAGTACAGCAGGAGCAGCGACAGAGAGCCGAGTTGCGACAGCTGCAACGACAGCCGAGGGGGATGCGGGCGGATGAAGAGGGAAAAGGAACAGAGGATGAGGAGGAGGGGCAGCAAGGGGACCAACGAGCTGAAGCACGAAGGAAGAAGCTTTGACGGGCAGCAACAGGGAGGAGGAGGGGTCGGGGCATGGAGAGGGGAGGGGGGGCAAGATGGTATGACTTTTTGAATGGAATTAATGAATCAGGAGGAAGCAAGCACGCAAAGGCAACTAACTAATAGTAAGCAAGCTAGTAAAGGACTTGAAGTAATAGTAACCATCAATTCATGATGCCATGGCATTGGGGAGCTTTATCTATCGGCAGTCATTCACTGCTACCTGGTAAGTAGGAGGACCATGACATAAAGAAGCCCGCCCCTTTCCGACGGAACTGCCATGGAAACAGTCCAAAATAACATCCAATACACAGAATAACAATACACCAAGTCGCGCCTTCGATGTTGAAGTCGTCGTGCCTTCCCGGTTCGTCCTTCAATCAACGTCAATGACGTCGCTGCCATGACCCCTTCTCCGCCAATCAGCACTCGTGTTTTGTCAGACTGATCCGGGCGAGTGGGGCTCATCCACCTCCCAGGTGGGGACCTCCAGGACTATGCAATGAATTCAGAACAAGTAGTAGATATTCCGAAAGAAAAGCCATTACGACAAACGAAACTCGTCATGCATTACCCTGTGGATCCTCCGGAAGGATTATACACAGTAGGGAATCATCATATTTACAAACAACAGCATGTACATCCACCCCCTACATCCATACAACCCCCGAACCAAACCCATCTACTGTCATCTCAACTGCTTCCATTCCTTCGTCGGCCCATTGATCGTCGCGTCACCCGTAGGGTTCGAGGAATATTCTTCTGTACCCATCCGGACCCTCGGGGAAGGAGATGTGAGCGCGCATAGTCTTCATCACTACCTCCCGGGGATACCGGCGGGCTCGATTGTGTCAGGTCCACCACCTCAGAAAGTTGTGATGGCTCTGGATCGTCTTGGTGAGGCTGCAGCACACTCTCCGGGACAACGCTGATCGATGATGGTTCCTGCACCGCCGGTGATTTCACTCGGGGAGATGGTCTTGGTACGGGAGACACCGATCCCGCTAGGGACATGAGCTCCATCGTCCCGTTTCCACCGTCGGCGTTGCTACTGCGCCGCCCCTTGCGAGACGCCTGTCGTCGCTGTCGTTCCTCCTCGGCCTTGTCGATCTCGTAGAAGGGATTAGGGACAATGGAATAGGCCGATGACTGTGAAGGCGACCGAGGCTTTTCCTTGGCAGGTGCGGCGGATGTCTCTCTCTTGACTGCCGGGGGAAAGTACGTTTCCATCAGGCAGTTGAAAGACATCATACTCACGGGGCTACTGATCATTTGGAGATCATCTTCCGACGCGTTGGCCGCAGAACCACCTTCATGGGCGTCATCGGGGAGAAGCATCGAGTGCAAGGTCGATGGAGGGTCCTTGATCTCGGGCGCATCCTCCGGTTGTCGACCGTTCCGGCCATTCTCGCTGTCTTGTCCTGCCGGAGGGGTAGATCTGGACACCTGGTCCTCATGGCTGCCTTTCGATCCGGTTGTCATCTCCGCGGGAGGCGAATGAAACCCGTCAAAATGCGGTGACTTGATGGGGCTAGAGTGCATGGCCGGGCCTCCCGTGCGGTCAATAGGCTCTTGGTTTGTTGACATCTCATCAGAATTAGTACCTTCCCTTTCCACATCTCGCACTGGTGGCTGACAGTCCTCGTTCTCGCGCGTGGCCTCGATTTCGTTTGGACTGGGCTCCTCTATGGCACGGGAGCTTGGTCGGGTGAGCGCAGGAACGCCAGACGAGTGTAAGGAAATTAGTGTACTGACATGCTGGATTTCCCAGCATTCCCAAGACCTGCAGTGTCAGCAGATCGGAGAAGCTTGGGTTCAATCAGGTCGGCAAATGACAACTCCCGGAAGCCATCGTCCTCCTCTTCATCCATCCCGGGCATTTCAAATCCACTATATTGCGGCCTATCATTTTCCTCATCCCAATCTTGGTCATCCCGTGCCTGTCGTCGGTCACGCTTGGCTAGCCGGATTTTGAGGATGTCGTATTCAAAGACTTCGTGGATCTTGGCCACTCGGTATCCGGAAACCGTGGGCTGCCAGCTTGTAGCCTTGGAAATTTCCAGCTGTCGGAAAGCAATGATCGAGCCCTTCTTCAAGCCATCCACGCCCATGTCCTGTAGAGAGGCTGGGTCATTGGGCAGAGCAGGGAGGTCGTCTGCCGAATCTTCAGATTGGTCCTCTACGGGCTGCTCTGCAGCATGCTCCACTCCCTCCATGTCTCCATTCGGTTGCTCGGCATCATCGTAGTTTAGTTGTAGATTGTCCACGGAATAACCCCCCACGGAATAGCCGTAATCGCCATTTTCATATTCTTCTTCCCCATCGTAAACTTGAAGCTGCTGCCGCCGTCTTCTCTTCTTACCCCAGCCTTTACGCTGTCTAATGAGATCACCAGCCTCAGCGTCCCAGCGTTGTTCGAAGGGGAATGGCGGAGCGGTCAGCTCAATGTCGTCATAAATACACTCGGTAGCCCGGAGGATCAACTTGTCTTGCCAGTTCTCATCCGAATCGCTTTCAGGCGCTTTGACCGCATCCTCTTTCGGAGACTTTGGGGGTGGAACTTGGTTGTTCACCTTGCCTGCAAGCTTCTTCCGAGTAGCCTCCTCGTCTTCTTTGGTTCGTGGAGTTCTCACCCCCAGTGAGCCAAAAAGCATCCTCCTGGAGCTGGCAACATCGAGAGTACGTCGCTTGGAAGGTGGCCTAGCTTCATCTTCATCAGCAGCAACGTCGGTTGCAGGCCGTGCGTCGCCGGTAGCCTTGACGCTCTGTGGGGATGCAACTTCCTTTTGCTTTGCCTCGGTGACATCGACTCCCCCCGATTCAAGATCACGGAGCAGTTTCTGTCGTTTTGCTTCGAATTCCGCCCGCTCTTGTTCTTTGATATCGTGTTTGTCCTCAGGAATGTAGTATGAACGTCCGTTAGCCTCTTCCCAGTCACGGAGAGCAGCGAAATCGGCCTGTGCGGGCAGGGCACCAAGCTCTTTTAGCTTTGCTAACCTGCGTCGCATTTTGTTACGCTCATTGCTCTTCTTGGTTCTCAAAGAGCCTGCTCCCGGAGGATTGGTTTTCGTGCGCATCTGCACATCTACATCAGAGTCCGAAAGCTCATCTTCTGATTCAGATGTGGACATGTCCTCATCAGAGTCGGAGCTCGAGTCTTCTTCTGAATCAGATGTAGAAGCTTCTGATCCAGAAAGCGAGTCTTCGTCAGAAGATGAATCACTTGCATTGCTGGAATCGTCTGAGTTACTAGAGTCGCTGGTCTCGCTCGTATCGCTTGCAGATGAGCTGCTATCGCTCGTACCTGAAGCCGAGCCCGTTAGATCCTCTGGGATCGAGATCGCTTTGCTGGCAACGGTAGCATTCGATTCCAAGACGGACGGCTTCGCTCTCTGGTCTTCAAATGTCACTGCTTTTGAATCCCTGCGAGTACCGTCCGGATTCAAAGACTCTTGGCTAGAGGGATGCGCAAGGGAGCTCTTTCTCGGGGCCGGTTGATGGATACTGGGTCTGGAGCGCAGCGAATAGCCCGCTTGCTCGATATCAACGTCTTCCGCCAGAGGCATAGGGGATATCTCCAGATCTTCCTCAAGTCCCTTCAGCTCTTCTACCAAGTCTTCAGGGTTGATGTTCGACTCATCTGAGCCACTTTCCGAAGCTTGATCATGTGTCTCGTCAACAGCATGCCGGATGACTGTCCCATTACCATCCTCTTCAGGCTCGTGGTAATCCTCGTAGTCATCCTGGTAAGCATCGGTGTAATCATCACCCTTCTTCTCCTGTGGCTGCTCATTCGACCTGATTACAGGAAGCTCTCTTGCGAAGCCTACTTGATTATTTGGCGCCCATTCTGTATCTTCCTCCTCGTAGCGCGATCCAAAGTCCCACCCTGCAGCGCTAGTCCGTCTTTTCTTTCTCGGTGGGATCGTGATTGCGGGTCTTGACGACGTAGGTCTTTTCAAGAATGGTTTCCCAAACGGGACTCCATCAATGAGGTGTTTGCCGTCGGAAGATATTTGATGGCGACCGGAAAGTCGCCTGGCTCGAAGGTCTGAGATTTGAAGGGCGCGTATCCTATCAAGAAATCGATGAGATTCAATCCAAGAGCAAAATTTGCTAGAGCCAGGTCAATGGCAACCGGCAGGGGGACAACCACTTACAAGATTTCATCACCGTCCCGCAACAAGCCTTCTACTTCCATGAAATGCAAACATTCCGAGCCCCCAACCTCAACCACATAATCCTCGAGACCCCACTGTCCACTGCACTCGGTATCAAACAAAGCTGGTTCCGTCTCAAGCGGGATAACCTCATTCACATCCTCCAGGAGCTGTGCGATCGTGTACCCGCCATTGGAATACAGCGCATTAGGTGCACGCGTCGAAGTCAGCGCAGAAGATGCGGCAGGAAGCATGGACGAAGCGCTGGGCGCATTATGGCCGAAAAGAGACGGCGGTGACGTTGTCCAAAGAATGCGCGTGACGGGCAGGCCGTGGCGCTGGATAATAAGATGGAGACGCATGGTGGATGGAATGCTTGTAGATTCTGATTAATGCTCCTCTCCTGTTGCTTCGGACCAGTCGCACTAGCAACAGCTCATTAGAATTATTTAGTATAATGGCGAAAAGCAAAACAAAGTCATGCAGGAAACCGTCGCGTTAATGCTTGCCGACGGCGAGATGCTTTCCGACTTGCTTGTCGCGTCGGAGGTATGAGTACAGGTAATGAAAAACCGCACGAAGGGGTTATAGCTGAAAGCAAGATCACAACAAGCACATCTTGAGCGCTAGAAACACAGCAAAGATCTAATAAATCGAAGAGTGGAAAGCGTGAACCAGAGAAAGTAGAAATGTGACGGGAGGAAACTGCAGGTGTGACGGCGACCAGCAGCGCGGATGCTGGGCCGGGCTAAGCCTGTTCGGTCGTTACACCTAAGGCATCAATCAGATTCACTACGGTCACGCTATAGCTTGATTTATATGCCAATTCCATTATAAATCTCATATTAAAATATTTTAGTGAATAGGGTTGCAACGTAAAGAGATTAGGATAGTTCAAGTCGCCATTATTAAATAGTGAAAATGCATCAGGTGGTATCGAAGAGCAAAGCAAAATCCATGGACTTTCATCATCGAGGTTTCCTGTTAACTCCGGAAAGATGCATGCAATGACACGGGCATTTTTGACTTTGTATTGAAAAATCGTTCAATAGTCGAGCGCTATTTCATTAGATGCACCCAGCTGCAACATAGAAAGCACGTTATGATGCAAACTTCACGTTTGCCTACTTGGACTCCGGGGAACTGGCTTCCTGCTGGGAACGCCCAGGTTCATGGGCCTGGCCCCCGGCTGGGACGGAACACGATTAACCTGGCTATGGGATGGTTGAGGCTTGCCAGCTGCAATCGTCTGATATTCGGGAGGGCTATCCTCCTCTAGGAGAAGGGGAGCCTTGTGGATTTTGAGCACGCTTTGTTGACGCGCAACGGGAGAATTTGGGGGCGAACCAGAACGGGACTCTGGCGGACTTTCGGGCAGCATATCGAGTGTCTCCGACGAGGACATCGCTTCCTGATTGCTGTAGGGTGCAGACGCCTCAGGTTCCTTTCCAACTGGAGATCGCGGATCAGCTCCAGGTTCAACAGATCTTTCGGAAGAGGCATCTGGTGGGTTATACTCTCGACGGGGGCCATCCACAGGGCTGAGAGTTTCAGCCATGGCATCTTCGTAACTGGGAGGTGCATCGTCGTAGCCGTCCTCAGGGTTGGCAGGCATAGGTGGTCTAGCAGGCCGAGGCGGCATTGGGGGGCGTGTACTACTATCCATCGATCCGGTGGGACTTGTAGGGCTAGCCGCTGGCTTGGCCTGCCCGTTGGCCGCCATGGCATCCAGAAGCGCTTTCGGGGGAGCAATTCCGGAGTAAACTTTCACGGGCATCCGCAGCGGAAGAACGATAAGTTGAGGCTACTGGTTGTGAGCAAAGCGTCCAGAAATGTGCAGCCAAGAACTCACCTTCATGTTGCCAACACTTCCATGAGTCAGGCCCACTCGAACTTCGAGCTCGTACGTCCGTGAGACATTGCAGGTCTCGAATGACGGCGCTACCGTGCTGGGCAGAGGTATGCCATTCCATAAACCAGCGTCGATCGTCCACTCCGAGTCCGCTGGGTCTCCGCCTCTTCCCAGAGGTACAGCCATATTACTCTGACTTAGTATGACCCAGGTGCCGCTTTCGGTGCGCCGTAAGTCATGAGCAATAATGTTTGTGTAAGAAATCAGCTCAACCTGTATCATCTGCAAGAAAATGGTCTCATAAGACTCTGACAGTTTCTTGACGAGAACACGCATTGGTATAGGCTCATTGCAGGTCAGGATTGACGGGTTGGGTAGCCGCAGGTCAGCGGATACGCGAGGGGAACCGCCCGCGGCATCCCGGAGCGAACTGCTCGACATCTTCGAGAATAGGCTTCTTTTTTTGGACACATTCGGGGCATTTGTGAACTGGTGTTGTCGTCTTGCATAAGTTTCTTCGCTCGGGTTGCCTGTCCTGGGAGGCTCGATGGGAAGGAAGTTTAGGTTGGTGATCTAGAAGCCAATTATCAGCATGGAATGCTGCGGATTATCGTCTTATCGCAGCGATCGCTCGTAAAAAATCAACATACCGCCCTGATGTTCTCCTTGTAGAACTGTGGACGAATAACCGTCGCTTTCACATAGTACTTGATGTCGGCCATGCCCGGGAAGCCACTTAGAGATGGAGGGAGCGTCTTTTTCACATGGCGAGCGGTGTCTCTGGCCATTTCCACTCTCAGACCCGTGATGTTCAGGTTCGTAAGCATGCTATTGTGTATGCTGCAGGAATTGTTGAATGGGAACTGAACAGCCACTATAAGTTCTGTATGTCATGGATGATACTCTGCGAGCCATACTGACCTTAAATTTGAACGGATACTCGTACGTCCCTCTTGCAAATGTATAAGCCCTGTCTGGGGTCTCTGCATTGAATACCGCTGCAGTGGGGAAAACCGTTTCGACTTTGTACAGGATCTACACCAGCTGGTCAGTATCGCTTGCATTGAAGGGCATCACACAAATGTTTTATTTCGCGTCTCGGATGGAAACAGAGGAAAAGGCCAGAGGGAAATGCCTCAGAATTCGCACCTTGTGAACCTCGATTTCGGTACGTTTCTTATCCGACTGCTCATTATGTGGATTTTTCGGACCTGCCAGGCGCGTCCGACTTTCGCCTTCTAATTTTACTTGAATGCCTCCGATTGCAGCTTCAGAGTGTAATTGTAGTACCACCTTTCCCGTGAGGTAGTCGAGATTGGTGAAATGCTTATGTGGCCGGTCCAGGTGGATGATTACAGACATGGCGACCACAAGTTTGGTGAACCGTGTGGCGGTTGAAGCGGGCCGGCAAGTGTGCACAGGCTCGATGTCAGGACCGAACCAGTCTGTGCTGGGGGTAGACGGCGATGCACTGGGAGGAATAGGTGAGAATATCTACTGAGAACGGATATGGAAATCCAAGTAAACAAAAGAAAACAGAAACCAGCGCACGGCGGATGGGGAAAGCTAGAAGAAGAAAAACGAGGACGGGAGTTCGGCAGTGACTTTTGACTAGATTACAAGCTGGGAAAATGACGTTTGAATCCAGGGGACGCAAAAGCGCAAGGCGTGGGGCAACCCGAGAACTGTACGGTCTCGGCGCGTTCGGAACTTTTCCCTCTCCAACAAACACAATGGACCATTTTATAATGGATGGAGAGTATTTCGGAGTCCTGATTGCTGATTGATCTGAGCGAGCAACTGGTGGAGTTCATTGACCGGGTTTTTTAATTCATACAGTGGGTGCGACCCATTCTGGGCCTCTCAGTCTGACACCGTCTGACGGGGGAAAGCGAGCCAGACTGAACGGCGATCCTCTCGCAGGGCTGGTTTTTGCTGGGCTCCGATTCGTGTTACAGCCGGGGTTATGCTAAGCCACCCCGAAAACAACTCTAAGAAGCCCCTCCGTTGCACCGCCACGTTACGGACGCTAGCAGAGCCATGCAAATGGTATCAAAGACTGATGGAACGAATTAATTGGGTATCGCCAAGTGATCTATACTTCCGAGTTACAAGTACACTTCTAGGCACCAAGATTTCCAACTTGACTGCAGTGGGGTGGGTCGTCAGAGACCTTCCTTAGCGAGCATGTCTAGAATCATTAGCCATGGTTATCAACCGATGTGGTGCCGAGAGCATTCGCGCCTTACCTGCAATATCAAGGTAGAACGCAATAGCATTGAACCTATAGGACAAAAAACAACCAGCCAATGTCAGCAGGGGCGCTCGCATGTCCAATGAATTGGGTTTAGAAGTCTATTGGCGAACCTCTGTCTGTTGCCTGTAATTTCTCCGGCCAACCACTTCAGTCGGTTGCTCCAGTTGATCAAGTCCAAGTGGCTGACGCCTTCAAGGGTGCCCTTGTATCCTCCCCACTTGCTGCTGGCAACGCTGACAAGTCCATCATTGTACCCTTCTGTTTGTTCCAGAAGACGGTGGGATAGACGGAAGGCGGACCAGAAGCTTGGCTGCATTGCCGCCCCGTAGGAAAAGTATCTGCATAACTCAGCCATACTGATGACGGCACCATCTTCGCCCAGTGGAGACATACCGGACATCTTCAATATCTGGCGTTGCGGGGTTGAAAGTGTTCGTCATGTAGTCACGGGTTAGCTGGGCAAACGCGCCCGTTTCTACCTTTAGCCGGTCTAGAGCATAGTACAGCTGGGCAAGGCGGTCATCTGAAACCACGTTAGATAGTAGCTTCTGTTGAAGCGAAGTGCATACTAACCGCCAATCTGCTTAAGAACGTAGTCTGCAACGGCAGAGCCTTGAAACACTGAGTGAGTATTCTTGAAGTTCTGTACGAACACATACCTCTATGTGGGGTCGCAATCGTCGTCAACGACTTTACCTTGAAGTCATTCGGCTTCAGATGGGTGATCATATATCGAGAGTCAAGCCCGCTTGAGCACTGATTAACAACCGCCATTGGAGGGTAGAGTTTCCTGGTTCTTACCCCTAAGGGAAGTGTAAATAACAGCTCCCGTAATGGCAAGTAGATGCTGCGCTTACCATGCTATGACTATTCCGGGTTAGACAAGACTGTATCACTGGTCTTAGAATGACACTTACGCAATAATATTTACATGTTCTCCGGGTGCGCCAATAGCGATATCTCTCGCTAATTCTTCAGCACGCGTTTCGATGGATGCGGAGGGAGGCACTGTGGCAGTGATGACTCGAACCCCTTTCACTGACAAAGCTTCCTTGATACCACGCCAATACTGGACCCCAGGAAGATAACGTCCAGCAAGACGCAGTTCGGCGAATCCAAGCAGGCCATGGGCGAGAACAACTGCATGTTTTGGGGCATCTTTCAATGAAATACCAGTTAGCTTGACACCAATCATAAAGGTAAGTGAGTAGCTCATGCTAACCGTAGTCCTTCCTAATTACCGCGTATTCGTCCCTAATGACCTTTCCCAGGTCTTCCAGGCGTGGATCAAGAGCATCGGGGCCACTGGGATGTTGTGGGCTGTGCCTACGCGTAGAGGAGTGAAAGTATCTCAGGGCTGGGTAGCTGGCAGACGTAGACTGGAATTTGATGCTTTTCACGCCGCTACGAACGGCGACAGCATGTCTCATTTTATTATTTCTCCCCACTAGTTATGCGATGATGAAGAGAAATTTGAGAGCAATGTATACATCTGGCGGCCGCCTGGTGTTCCTGATGACGATGACGCAACAGTTACTGGGCGCTTCATGCCTCAGGCCACAATATCAAGGCACCGAATCAACGTCTACTATATCCACAGCGCGTAACTGCCAATAAAGGCATGCTACTAACGAGCTAGTATTGCTTTTCTAGTTTATTATTAAAATATATAGGCGCTACCCCACGATGCAAAGTTGTGACTGCAGGGTTGTTCAAATTGACCAGCAGCACTTATAAGGACATCGAGGAATCAAGACAACCTCAAGTTGACTCTTTGCCAGCGTCAGACAGGACACAACATGAATTTATGTAATGCTCAAACAGTGGGCCAGAACTATATTCACAGGCTGAAAGCAAATGACAAACAAGAACCCCTCATGCTGCCACAATGACATTCGGCATCATTCCTCTATGCCTTGATCACGATCTTCTCGGACGGCTCGGGCTTCACATCGACCAGCGCATGGATAAGAGTCTCAATAACCTTTCCGCCTCTCTCGTTACCAGCATCCTTGATTTCCTGGAGCTTCACCTCAGCCTCCTTGTTCGCATCCTCCTCGGCCTTCTTGTATCCACTCGAGTGCTAGAAACGGTAGTGTCAACCTTCATGTTCGTCCAGATGTCGCGCCTGCCGAGCCCAACCCCGCAGAACAGATAGTAATATCATACCTCAGCCTCGAACTTCTTGAACTCCTCCTCCTTTTGCTTTCTGTACTCCTCAATCTCCTTCTGCGCCTCGGACTTTGCCTCCCTTATGCGCTTCGTGCGGTCTATAAGAACATTAACCGGGGTGCTGTGGTTATCAAGAGTCTAATGACATACATTCTCTGGCTGGATAAAGCGACACGTCAGCACTGATTAACGGTTCGGTGGTATTTCAAAGAGGGTGTAAACTAACCTTGTTGGACGATCTTCTGAGCCTCCCTCTCGGCCTGAAATAGAGATGGTCAACAACTATACCCCACCCAGTTCAATCCAAATGCGACCTACATCGAGGAGGGTCTGAATGCCTGCGGAGTTCTGAGCGGACTATCCAAAAGAGTCAGTATGGCAAAGTCCCAAGTCGAGCGACACATCCTCCTCACCATCTTTGCAATATTATCTCTCAAAACAGGCGCCTATTAGAACGAGAGCGTCGGAAAATATAGGAGTATACAGAGGTGGAGTCGTGAGCTTGTGATGCGCCGTTCGATCTCCCCGACGCCACGAATGACCCCTTAGGCGGTCGGGGTTTTGCCGCCAGACACCGCCATCACTGATAATCACCGATAATCCGATGCAGATTTGGACATGATGCCACTCGCGCATTCAACTGTTCATCCAATTATTGCTTCTTATTTCTTTTTGCGCAATCTGCAAATTGCATTTAAGACGAGATGTCCCGTGCTTCTAAATTGACACTGGCCGCGACTGGTCTCGGTACGGCGGGGATCATCTACTTTGTGCACTGGGCCCAAGAACAAGAGAAAATTGTATGTCATTGGTGCACTCTGACCAGATTGACTACATTAGCTAATGCTTGACTCGGATTTAGGGAATGCACAAAGCGGTCGAGCTAGACATGGAGAAACAGCGTATCCGCAGGGAACGACAGGCGGAGTTCGAGATGCAAAGGGCGCTCGAAGAAGAGTACCGGAAGCTACAGAAGGTCTCGCCCAGCGTTGACGAACCAAGCGGAGGGAAGTCGAATCAAGGACAAACATCATGATACACGACCCCGCGGTTCTTTACGATGTTTAGACTTTGCCTGGTATGTTCAAGCCCTTGGTGGCTAGCGGTGAACCGTTCTCTAACGACCGAGCAGGTATAGTTGTCCGCATGGCATCTAATGGCTGTATGCTTGTAGAATATACCCAAAATGTACATTAGAGATCAATATTCATACCCACCTCTGTATACTATGGATTCAGCTTGTATCTAGACCACATGCTGTGCTAAAAAATTAGCTGTTAAGCGTCACAACTGCTGAAAGAAGGCAATGCGAAGTATATACGGCAGCAGTAAAAGAAGTGCCGCTATGCTTGAACGTTCATTCGTTCTGTATTGCTTAAAGAGAAACATATGCCAGTCTCAGACACACTGATTTTAGGCATTGTGGTAGACATCCTTATCAGCCAAGAATGGCACGGTGACACGTGCCGGCGGACTCCGAGATAGGAGCGATAGCAGACCGACATAAAAGAAGGCCGGCTATCATCGGAGGCCGGCCCAATTCCGGCCTCCTGCAACTAGGAAAGCCTAATCGGGCGCGATCCAAGGATGCTGGCCAATCATGCTGGGGGCCATGTGACATGAAGCCTTGGCATTTGGTGAAGTATAAAGCGCTTCATAATGTAGACGGCGAGGCTCTAGGGACATTATGGGTGTTTTGAATGTGTTTTCGAGAGTAGTGAAAGGTCTATACAATTACTAGGGGTCTGAAATTGTATAGAAACAGCTTTATGGCCATCTCCAAGCAGCTAGACCCCGGAACGAGCAGATGGTGCAGCTACTATACCCTGCTCAATCGGGAATAGCGCGTCCCCGTGATTCTGGCGTGCCCTTATTTGCCAAGAGTTTGTATAGAGTCGATGGACGTGCATCTGATGGACAGACATGCCTGCAAGGGGTGTTGTTTCCGTGTAGAATCATCGTAGAGCCCCAATATATCACATAGGAGGGTCCAGCATCTATGATACTACGTTATCGCAAATGAGTCTGAGGTCCCCACGTAGTTTTCCTGCCTCTTTCGTAATGGTGCCTTTGAGGCCGGAATTGATACCGGCCTCTGAGTATTATAAGAATCGCCTGCTTTCCCGCCCAATTCAGACTCCCAAGCTCTCCTTCCCAGATCCTCCAGTGTCCGCAAACATTCCCAGCAGGAAATTTCCCGTTTTCTTATCCTCCTCTACTTTGACTTTAGGTCTCTACCAACCCTTTACTCTCTCATCGTCATCACGTCATCATCCATTTGCCTTCATATCTCGGATAGACTTCTATACTACATTACCTCCACACCATGTCTCCCTCTAGAGTTCCCTTGCCCAACAGCACCGTGGACCGCTTCCCCCACATCCATGATGACCCTTCTACCCTGCCCCGGTCCCTGGACCCTTTCACTATCACTACCTCCACTGGCTTCCTCCCTTACCTCACCGCCCCTACCTCACTGCCTGATGTCTTCCAGCCTCTACAGTCCCTACTTGAGCGGATGCCAGTACTCAAGGAAGATGGCACTCCAGGTCTGCTTGCCAAGTATGAGCTGGGCCCTGCCGTCCTGGCTGAGCTGCCCGACTTGACGGATGAGATCGACAAGCAGGTCACTGCTGAGGGGTCGCCGGACCTGTACATGATCGCTGCACTGTTCCGGGACTACTCATTCCTCGCTTCGGCTTATATCCTTGAGCCATGCTGGGAGAACTGGTGCAAGGACCCGGAGAGTGGCTATGGTCTGGGACGGGACCTTCTGCCCAAGACTGTAGCTCGTCCCATGTACCGTTGTGCTCAGCTGTATGTCCTGCCCACGTAACTACATATTATCATGGCCAATATACTAACATGATACAGCTTGGACATTCCTCCTTTCCTGTCCTATGCAGCTGCATACTCCCTCTTTAACTACACCTTGGCTGAACCGTCCAAGGGCCTGGTCTACCCTAACCTTAGGTTGGTCCGCGCCTTTGAGTACGGCCTCGACCCCAAGAGCTCAGAGGCAGGGTTCATCCTGACCCATGTGGACATGGTCAAGTACTCGAGCGGCCTCATCAGTGGAGCTGTCAAGGTTGTCGACACCGTTGAGCAGGGTGGACCACGCTCGGTAGTCAACGACGGGTTCCGAGAGATCCTGGAGTCGATGGAAAAGATCGAAGCAGCCATGGAGGGTATGTATACCCTTCCTATATGTACCATTACACTCCAACTAACATTACCAGATATGTGGGCCAACTCCAAGCCCCAGGACTACCTCTCCTTCCGCGTCTTCATTTTCGGAATCACATCTCAGTCCATGTTCCCCAACGGAGTCGTCTACGACGGGGTGCTCGACAACAAGCCTCTTTTCTTCCGCGGAGAGAGTGGTGCAAACGACAGCATGGTAAGCAGCTATCCCACACCATTTACATAAACAGTTCAAGCTGATGCCCAGCGCAGATTCCACTACTCGACCACCTCTGCCAAATCCCCATGCCCTCCAACCCGCTAACCAAGGTGCTGCATGAATTCCGCGCCTACCGACCCCTTCCCCACCGCGAGTTCCTCGCGCACATTAACTCGAAATCGGAAGAGGTCGGGGTGCGCAACTTTGCACTGGCGGATACCGAGACGGCGATTCTTCTCCTGAAGACACTCAACCATGTGCGTAGCTTCCGTTGGCGGCACTGGCTGTTTGCCCGGGAGTACATTATCCGCCGCACGCCGCATCCTACTGCCACCGGCGGAAGCCCTATTGTTACGGTAAGACTATGCCAGTCATTTCCTGATAATCGTAGTAGCCAAGCGACTAACGGTACACAGTGGCTCCCGAACCAGCTGTCCGCTGTGATGGACTTGATGATTTCGGTCTACGACACGTACCTGGCCCCGCAGAAGGGGGATGGCCTGGGACCGGACGGACAGAAGGGCTACGATGCTTACGCAAAGCAGGTTGAGCCGATGATGGAGATGGTGCGGGATCAGCGGGACAAGTTGGCGAAGGAGGTAGAGAAGTGGTGCCAGGAGAGGGGTGTATAGATACCTATGAAGAGTTATGATACCTGCCACAGACGTGCGCACAAGCATTATTTTTAACAATCTAAACTACATTTAAACTTACATCCTCCACATTATAATAGAATACTCCGAGGTAACTAAAGTAGCCACCAACCACGTGTTGTAGATCCACACAAACTCGGACATTCCACATTCGGCTGTTCCAATCAACCAACTCAACTAAACCAACGGACCTCGGCATTTCTCCGCATTCCTCCTTTATATCAACTTCTTCTCCGCACTCACCACCTTCACACCTACACCATCCACTACCGCCATACCACACAACCCAACTCACACCTCACAATGCCACCAACCCAACCCCCCGAACATTTCCACGGCTACCTCTCCCACTCCCCCACCACGCCCCTAACCTACGCCCGCTACACCCCCAAACCCTTCACTCCCCACGACATCGAAATCAGCATAACCCACTGCGGCATCTGCGGTACCGACCTCCACACCCTCCGCTCAGGCTGGGGTCCCAACACAACAACCTACCCCTGCATCGTGGGCCACGAAATCATCGGCATCGTGACACGAATCGGCTCCTCCATCCCCACCTCCCCAGCTTACCCCAACACCACACCACTCCAGATCGGAGACCGAGTCGGCATCGGCGCCCAAACCCTCTCCTGCCTACAACCATCCTGTGAGGAGTGCGTCGCCGGAAAGGAGAACTATTGTCCGCGCATCACGGGCACGTATAACAGCCGGTACTGGGACAACGAGACGGGCAAGAGAAGCGATGTTATAGCGTATGGAGGATTCGCGCGAAAGTGGCGCGGGCCTGCGGCATTCGCGTTCAGGATTCCGGAGGGATTGAAGAGTGAGGTTGCGGCGCCGTTGTTGTGTGCGGGGACGACGGTGTTTGCGCCGTTGAGGAAGTATCTGGATGGGAATGGGAAGGGGAAGACGGTAGCGGTGGTGGGGATAGGCGGGCTGGGGCATTTGGGGATTATGTTTGCGAAGGCGCTGGGCTGTGAGAGAGTCATTGGGATATCGAGGAGTAATATGAAGAGAGAGGATGCTGTGAAAGGGTTAGGGGCTGATGGGTTTATTGCGACTGGGGAGGAGAAAGGGTGGGAGAAGAAGTGGAGTCGATCGGTGGATTTGATTCTTTGTACGGTGGATGGGGATGATATGCCGTTGGGGAAGTATTTGAGGTTGTTGAAGGCCGGGGGCACGTTTGTGTTGGTGGGGGCGCCGGAGAAGCCGTTGCCCAGGATGAGGGCGTTCGAGTTGATTGGGAAGGGGGTTAATGTGACGGGGTCGAATATTGGGAGTCGTGAGGATATTAGGTGTATGTTGGAGGTTGCGGCGGAGAAGGGGGTCGTGCCGTGGGTGGAGACGAGGAGGATGGAAGAGGTGAATGAGGCGTTGAGGGATATGGAGGAAGGGAGGGCGAGGTTTAGGTATGTTTTGGTGAATGGGGAGGAGAGGGAGAGTCGGTTGTAGATTTATTGAGTGTGTTCAAAGTTGTTTGTTGGTGTATGTATGGGGTTGGGGCGTTGTATAGGGTGGGTGTGGTGGTGAGGGGGTCGTAGGGAAAGTGGATATATATAGACAACTGTAGTACTTATGGGATGAGAGTCTCATTCAAGGGAGAAGTCCTGCATATATCAGTCATTTTCAAGAAATGTAAAAGGATGTTCATCACTCCTGATACGCTCGGTCTGGATCCGCCGTGGGTATGACTGTATTTCCCAATCGGGAAACAGGTACGAGACATACGAGGTTGCAGATCGTAAAGCCTCACATAGAAAAAATTTCTATACAGGACATGATGAGAGACGATCCTCTATACAAATGGAAATTCTGTTCCAGAAAGGTAATTTGTTCTGTCTATCAACATACTGTTTTCATGCAGTGATAGACTTCATGCCTACCAAACAAAATGTCTTAAAATTCGCATAGCGGCTGTGGCTTATCAATGCAATCTATTAATATCTGCAGCGATTGTATTCGCGGCTCTCTTTATGCTAGCAACCCTCTTTCATACCTATCGTCTGCTCCGGACATGGATGAGGTTTTCAACCCATCTCGTCATTGGAAGCTACTGTATGCCAACCATTTCAATGTTGAAATATCACTGACCAACCGGTCGAGGCAATAGGATACACCGGCCGCGCCATGTTGGCATCTCAGTCTCCCCACTGGACTTCGGTCCGTACGTCATGCAGAGCACCTTGCTGCTGGTTGCACCGGCTCTCTTCGCTGCGAGCATATACATGGAGTTGTGTCAGATCATTGCCCTCGTGAAATGGGGAGAGTTGGCAATCATCCGGGTGGGCTGGATGACCAACATATTTGTTGCCGGAGATATGCTCAGCTTCTTGATGCAAGTGTCGGGTGAGTGCGTGCTGTGCCTAGGTGATGTTGTGTGATGTGCTAATGTGGATACAGGGGCGGGAATCATGGTCAATGGCTCCCGGAGTATGGGACAACAAATCATCGTGGGTGGTCTGATCGTGCAGATTGCTTTCTTCAGTTTCTTTGTCGTGAGCGCGCTGGTTGTCCTGGCTTGCATAGCAAGTCGGCCAGCTGAGGAGTCGCGGTATCCCTTGATTCCCTGGAGGAAGCATATGTTCGCCTTGTACAGCTCGCGTGTTCTAATCATCGTCCGATCGGTCTGTCGTGTAGTCGAGTATATAGAGGGCTCGGATGGGTTCCTCCTGCAGCATGAAGTGTTCATTTACGTGCTGGACGGACTGCTGGCGTTGTCCGTGTTGATCGTTTTCGCTGCTATCCATCCGAGAGAAGTGGAATGGCTTCTCGAGCGCGGGAGCACCAAGACAGAAAAGGAAGGACGAATCAAAGGAGCCTATCTCTGTATAGTTGGAGCTGTCGTCGCTTGTAAATGTCCAGTTATTGAATCAATGAATCACGAAATGGTTTCCTGATGTTCTATTCCTGCTGTATCAGGCGTATTAACTGGATGTGTCTCTCCGAATATTTCCAGCATATGACTCTCAATCAGTGGCCTCCATTTATCGTCCAGAACTTCCCATAATGCCCGTGCTACTCTGCTACCCCGATCCCCCATATACCATGCATCCCTCAGGTGATGGAAGACAACGCAGTGATATGCTAGCATAACCAAAGCTAGCGGTTTGCGCTCCCGCAAAAGTTCCATGAATTCAGGCAGTTGTCTGATCGCCCATCGACAGGAAATCGACACAGAGGATAGACCAGTACGAGCCTCAGCCAGCATTTCTGCCAGACGGTCAAGTGCAATCTCGTACGCAGCTGTGTCATGGGTGTCGTCCTGAGCCCCGCAAGCGTTGTTCACCTCATGCAACCGCTCCAAGCTTGACTGTGCGTCTCTCAAGTAGTCCTCATTCAGGTCTTCCACCTTGAAAATCATGCTCCATTCATCGCTCTTTATGACCGAAGTAGCTTGCTTGAGTATATGTTGAACCCCGCGCGCGAGCGTGAATATCTGAATCAGGTCATCCACGTTTGCCCATGGATCGCTAGACTCGGGTGCGTGAGGTAAGCCAAAAGTGTAGTAGACCACAACACTGGCGAATGCAAACATAGCCCTTGCATTAGATGAGTTGATATCGCTTAGCCTCTCGCGGAAAAGTGCCAGTGCTTGAGCCTGATGTGCAACTGCAGTGCTGAGATAAATGGGACGCTGCTGGGTATCATGCTTTGTTCGTGCAATATGCAGAGAGGAAAGCGCGAGTAACCCATGCATTAGGAAAGGATGCGTGATTGCTTCCTCTGAAGCGCGAAAGCGCCAAATGTGGTCCGTGTGTTCGCCCCGAGACACACTTTTGTGCGTTGAGTTGCACCACTGCATCATCAGCTCCAGGTCTGTGATGTTCAAGCTGGGGACTGCTTGCGAGGCGGCGAATGCATCACCCCATCTTCCCAGGATGTTGAGGGAGTTGGCAGTCGTAGCCGCAGCAGAGTCAGACTGGGAGGCTCCTGCTGGGCTAGACTTCGTGGACCGTGTGCGAGAAGGGGGTTCTTCATTTGTCCATAGCAGTGATGAGCTGGAGTCATACTCGCAGGTTGCTAGACGTTTTGAGCAATTTGAACAGGAGGGTCGTAACTCATCACACTGGGATTGTCAGTAAGTAAGACGAGACACAGGGAGGATTCCACAAGAAGGTTGCGGAAATAGGAGAATACCTTCACCCGCCTTCGCTTGCATTGCAAGCAGCCGTGGCGCGATTTGCGATGGGGTCTTCTAAGTGCCATTGAACGTGGTGCAGGAGCTACTGCTGGCCATGCTAGATCCGAGGGACTTTGGACCCACGGTTGACTCCTTTCGCATGAAGCTGTCGCTTAGATTCGCTATCTCGAAGAAAATGGCGGGGAAAGACAAGAAAGTCAAGGCTGAAGCATTTCAATCTTTCTTTGGAGCCGGGATCGTATTACGTCATCAACACGGTCCTCAGCACCAAAACTTTGTGCTTATTGATATTATGATAGGATATAGAACAAAAATGCAGAAAATCAACCTGGTATCTCATATCGCAAAAGGGAACTGCAGAATAGCCATATCGAAGAATCCCAATTTCCTCTTAACCACCACCGCCGCCACCACTAGCAGCAGCAGAATCCCTGCGCCGCCGGGCTTTCTCGTACAAGGCCAGCACTGTGATCAGTGCCATCAGGTCGAATTCCTCCCCATGATCCACAAACATTACAAGCCTGCCAGTCTCCTTGTACTTCCAAACAGCATTGGTGAATACCCCCACGACCTTGCCGGTCTGCTCCTCAACGAGTTTAAAGTTGCGATTACTCAAGCTGTTCGTCTTGCTATCCTCCTTAATCCCGACTGAGTGTGTCCGGGTCCAGAGGAACGAGTGCCGTTCCGGGCCCTGAGCAGTTTGCATCGTCATCTGCCAACGATACTTGGCATGTCGGTGATCTTGCGCTAGCAGATCCTCGTATATAATTCCATTGATATCGCTGGGATCGCCCAGACCGACCTTGATATGTCTCGAAAAATGTAGGAATTTGCAGACGGCCACGATCGGGCCGGCTTCGTTAGACCCCGCGTGGAAGGTAAGGTCTGGCTTCTTGGGCGTACAAGAGGAGTTCTCCACCCGGTACAGCTGCATCCCCTGGGCGGTGGTCACATTGTAATGGTGTCGGAACAGCGTGTTATGAATCTGATAGACATGCGAGGCGCTTTGCTCGCTTGGAAGCTTCTCATCCACAGATGCCCCATAGTCAGAGGGTCGAGAACCGACCAAGGTCGGGTCATTGGAGACCAGGGAAGGGTCGTAAGTAGCCATATGTTTAGCAGGAGAGTAGTAGTAGACTGCTAGTTGATGGCTCTGAGAACACAATCCCAAATTCATGGAATCGACGCCATTCCATGGTTCTTATATCATGCTTCCGAGCCTTACGGCGGACAAGGCGCACTGCTGCGGCTCATGCCGATACGAGACCCTTTGACGATCATCAGGCTGTGCATCACAGCCATTCTGCACCTTCTCCTTTCTGATTCTTCGGGCACCCGATCCATGGATAACCTCCAGCCAATCAGCACTACATGTATCTTAGCGGATACGACGGGCCCGATCGGGCGTAGCGTAGGTGACTCAGGCTCCCAGTCTCATGTGACATCATCTGACTTAAGCCAGTCACGTGAATTTATGTGCTATCACATGACTGTATGTCTCACCGCCCGGCGCGCGTCTCGAACTTCGGGAGAATTAATTGTTGGCCGGCGAAACAGTAGAATCTCAGATTCCAGAAACACAGCGGTCTTGGACGGGCGTGTTGCTTCTTTCTCGCTCTGCCCGGCTGCTTGTCGATTCTTCAGTTTTGGCTCAATGACCCGCCCTCTTTAAATTGTTTGCGCGTCCCTATTTCCCGCCTCTTACGCTGTCTGTCCGCCCCCCAACTGAGGTGCAGCTCTATCCTTCCTCACTCTTCGCGTCCATTGTTCCTCCATTATCTCCGGGCACCTTACCAATTAATCTAGCCTTGTCGCAGCATGTCTTTCAAATCCCCTTTTGAATCAAGCCCGCCGTCCACCCCCGGCCATTCCCGCAGTGTCTTCAGTAATCTGTCAGAAACACCCGCAGGCGCTCCGCCCTCCGCATCCAATTCCTTCACTCCGCAAGGCCACCCTCACTCCAGCAGCATGTTCGGCAGCTCCCAGATGAGCTCTGGCTCCCTCTTCACCAAGTCCGGGAACATCAATCCCAACGACAGTATCTTCGGCTCCTCCATTGCTTCCACCGACTTTGCCCTCCCCCGAGGAAAGAAGACCACGCAAACCAAGTCCTTTGCGAAGTCGCAATCGCTGTTTAGTATTACAAATGGCAGCCGGTTTGCCGAGTCGACTAGCTTTGGAAATTCCAACGGCTTCGCGGATTCACGGATGGATGATGATGCCACCGACCAAGATGCGGAGGGCGAAGAGGAAGTTCTGCCGGAGGAAGAAGCTGAACAGACCGACAACGCTATGGACTTGGGAACTACAGAAAAGGCCACAGGGTCTCGCTTCAGCTTCCTGGAGTCCCAGCTTGGCGATTCCATCTCTGCGCCGTCCGCCGCGCTTGGCCAACGGAAGTCGATCTACTCAAATTCCACGACACAAGCAAAGCGCCCAAAGCTTGATGAAAAGTGGGCGAACCAGTCGCCTCTGCGGAAAGGCAAGCTGTCGCCCAAGAAGGATTCGGCGATGCCGTCAATCGTGCGGAACTTCGCTTCGCGATCGCGCGTGGCTGCCGTGGACGAGCCAAGCCAGTTCATCATGAATACCGAGGATGAAGTCTGCCGCATGCACGATGAAGTGAAGAAGTCTGACTACAATAACACCGACTTCGAGGTCGCTCTCTCAGACTCTTGCGACAGACTCGTGGAAACATGGCAGGAAATCACAAGTCAGGATAGCGCTGGTCAGAGTACAGGAACCGGCATCGGTCCCGGAGACAATGCTTCGAACGTCACGAAAGCAAGCTTCCTGGCATCCCTGCTGCTGCGTCTTCATCATCCTCCTCAATTGGCACCCAAGCCCAGCCTTCTAAGCCCCCTGGGGTTTCCAGCGCGCAATTTATTACTGGCCCCTGCTCGGACGAATACCCCTACGCCCATACCCAAGCTCCTTCTTGACTGGCTTGATGAGAACCATATGCCTCTTACCGATGAGCTGCAAGCATTGAAAGAGATTGAGCCCAATCCTACGGCTTCTCCAAACTTTTGGGAACTGATCAATGCTGCTGTATTGCGTGGCCATCTCCCCGAGGCGGCGGACCTTTTGCGCTCGGCTGATTTTAACTATGCACGGTCGGCCTTGGAGGATGGATTGCCGCAGTCGGGCTACCGTGGCGCACAGCTGCAGAACATTCAGAGGTGCGTTAACCGGGCCCTCCAGATCCTCGACTCATGCCCCAGCGTGCAGCACGGGGACTGGGACATCCGAGGCCCAGAGTGGGCTACGTATAGAAAACGGGTGATTGCCGCCGTGACAGATTTGGAGGAGTTCGCCGAAGGCAGTGAACAGGCATCTCCCGCGCCTCCAGCTGCAGAGAACCGCTTCCAGGCAGTCAACTTCGGATTGAAGGCCACTGCTGCTGCCCCGATGTTCTCCTTTGCTCAGAACGCACGCATGGCCGAGAGCAAAGTCCCTTGGGCCATCTACCAAAACCTTCGGTCCATGTACCGCATCATCCTCGGTGACACGAGTGTGGTCATGAACCACGCGGAGGATTGGATTGAAGCCACGATTGCGATGACTGTGTGGTGGGATGGAGAGGATGACGAGGAGGGCTCCAGCTCCGACCTGTTTTCCAGGCTGTCCAGACCCAACGCCTCCTCCAGCAGTGTACGGAACGCCTATCTCCGTCGCCTTGACTTGGCCTTTAGCCATGCAACCAGCGCCGAGCCCGACGACGCTGGCTTCCGCGTCAACTCGATGAGCAGCCTCGAAGTCGGACTTGCTTCCGTGTTTGAAGGCAACGTGGATGGTGTCCTAGAATTGCTTCGGACTTGGTCGCTGTGCGTAGCGGCTGCCGTGGTTGAGTTTGCGTCTATTGGCGGCTGGCTAGAGGCTGGGGCTGGTCCTAAATCCATGCCAGGCCTGAGCGAAAATGACTTGATGGTTCTTTCCTATGGTCAGGCTGGAAATGCGCCTGCGCGACGCGTTCACAAGAACGATGTGATTAGCGAGTATGCGTCGGGCTTGTCTGAGCGAACCACCCTAGAGTCCGAAACGGGCGTGCGACAGGGATGGGAGATGGCCATCGAGATCCTGAGCCGCTTGGATGACCGCGAGAAACTGGAGACGAGTGTCGCGGAACTGCTCGAGAAGATACCATTGAGTAGTGTTGAGCAGGTAGATAGAGTGGTCCAGCTGTGCTGTGAAATGGATTTGGATCAACACGGAAGGAAGGTTGCTGAGGTAGGTGTCGCTTACTGATACTATGTGAACTCGAGCTAACCATCTCAGCGCTATGGTGATAATACCGTAGCAAACTCTCAGGAATATGGACTTGCCCTTCTGTGCTATGCTCGCGCACATAACCGACGCAAGGTCAAGTCTATTGTCGACCTGCTCATCTCATACAGTCTTGTTCAATCCCGCGCCTTTCCCGAATCCACCGACCTGGACGAGCAGCTTGAAGCTCTGATCAAGAACCCCAAGTTTGGCTTGGGGGCGATTGCACACACAGATGAAGAGGCCGCTACTATTCTCCAGTATTATTTCAGTGGATATGCAACTCTGCGTCGCTTCTACGAGATTCGCGACGAGGCTCTCAATCTCAAGGAAGGACAGCGACCTCGGTTCAAGCCTCTAGCCAGAAGACGAGCGGCGGCCCAGGCTTTGGTGGCTGTCATTGGCAGCGCGGCAGACAGCATCTACGGTGGTCTGTACGATCCAGATCGCGATTCTGTTGTCCAAGTCGATGGACTGTTAACCTTGCTTGGCGAAGCCCTACCCTTCATTGGTCGTAAGACTCCCTCTCATCTCACAAAGTACCATTTGTAAGACCCATATTCTAACCATCTGATTGGCAGAATCCACTCCTCTCCTCTCCGTCTCCCAACAATTCACCATCCTCTCCGCCATCGAGGACCTCCAGACCGTGACTCCGCGCGTCTACGCTCAATGCGAAGAATGCTTCCGCTCCACGCTCATCCAATACCACTCCAACAAGCGCGCCCACACCTCCGACTCCTCTGTCCTTCCTCCCTCCCCCCGCGCCATGCTCAAGAAGTCCGTCTCTTCCCTCACAGCATCAAGCACCTTCTCCCTCATCGGCAATGACATTCTCGAATCCGCCCGCACTCGCTCGGGCTCCGGTTCCGTCGCCAGCTCCGGCGTGCTTGTCCCTCGCGCGGACGCTGACTCCACTACTACCTCCACCGAACGCGGCTGGGACTGGCGTGCCGGTCTACCAGAAGACGCAACGGGAGATGACATTCTCCGTATTCTCCGGGTCGGTCTAGCGAAGGGATTGAGCCATGGGGCTCTTGGCTCGATTTAGATTTTGTATTTTGTTGTTTTCCCCTGTTCAATGATGAAGAGAAATCAAGCCAAGAAGCAAAAAAAGTCAAATTCTCATCAATCGGGTGTAATTCAGTGGAGTGGGGTGGAGTGGAGTGGAGTTGTGTGCTGTATTATTGTATTGTATTCTATATGTTTCATTTTGCTTGAAGCATGCATGAGTATATTAACTTTTTTGTTCCCGTGTGTTGGTTGGTTGCTCTTTTCAAGACCAATTAGAGTTGAGATTTTCTCTCTCTCTCTTCCCACCTTGATATACTTAGTTCATAGTATACACAGCTACTACACTGTACGCACTCCAATCCATAAAAATTAATATACTTATTACACCTCATAGTTTGAAAACAAGACTTGAACACGAATCTAGTACTAACATCAATGATTACTCCTCAACTAAATCGCGTCCTTCTCCATTCCATCGTGCAATGAATGCATACATAGTGAACATTATTACTTAACACAAGTATACATCAATACATGCATGCATACTACTCATACATTACATGCGAATAACACACTACTTATTTAGTTAGTTCGTTCATAAGTGGAAAGTTGCTGGTGAATTCATAGGCTTTAGTGGTGGCTACTAGGATGCGTAAAGCTTATGAAGTACACGTAGACAAGCGAGATGTCACTCACTCTGTTATTATTATGCTGTTTCTGGAAAGTTGGAGATTCCGTTGTGGGTACAGGTTGACGAGTACTAGGGTCTTTTGTGGGCTATTGAACCGCTTGCTTACAGTACTTGATATGATATGATCATGCGAGATTGGTTCTATGAATAGGTATCTAGCTGTGGGGACTTGGTAGAATTGGGTTTTACTTTTTCGCACTTGGTCACCGCAGTTTTGATCCTTCTCGGGATCTATAGTGCAATAGACAAGTCATTCAAGTATTTCACTATCGCTTAACTTTAACCCTCGTCTAACGGGATGATCTATCCATTGGTAGGTAGATCGGATGCCATGCATAAGTACATGTTCATATGACCGTAAACAATAAATGATTATAAGTTGAACGAATGTAGGTAGGCCAGCTAGATAATGCATAGATAGATGTTGGTATCCCCCAACTGGTGTATCCCTGATACGACCCCGATTTCCTCAATTGAATCCTCCTCTATTACCATAATTTATTGAGACAAAACTCTCCGCCCAGTCGATCGTCGCACATTTCTCGTCTCATCGTGACTGGGGATTTTGCGACGCAACACAACGCAACGCTATGCAGAACAGGCTGACTGAACACGCGCGCACACACACAATTATAAAGAAAACGGTGACGAGAGCGCAGCCCCACGGCGTTGACAATAAAAAAAAGCATATATCTAGCAAGAGTTTTGGCGAACCGGCCAAGCCAAAATCGAATCGAACTGAGCATGCATCGAACAGGAATAAAATCGAACGACAGTTGAGGCAGACGTCCCGCGACTGCTGCCTCTTACTGTCCTTGAGCAGATAGGTTTAACCCTTAATGCTGGAATATCCTGAATCCGGCAGGGTTGGGTCTCGAGCGTTGTTTCCGTTGCATCTCAATGAGTGTCGGGAACAGGTGTAGCCGACCAGGACGATTTTCTCCTGCACCACATGGCCACGCTGGCCATATGCTTCACACGGATCTACCGCGTGCTGAAAGTAAAGACATCTGCACACCGAAAATCGCTCAACCAGTAGATAACACATGATGTGGTGGTGGTAGTAGAAGTAGTGGTCGAACGATGAGTTTGTACTGGGGTGGTAGATAAAAAGAAAGAAAAAAAGACACAACTTGAAATAATCAAACGTCCCGCGTGGTGATGAGACAGGTCTGAGGGTGGTGGTCAAGGAATGACTGAGGGTCGAGGAGTAAAGTGGTGAGTGCGATGGAGGTGGGGAGTGGATCGCGGATGGAATCAATTATAAGAACACCGACCATTCAGGCGACCCAGGACCATGATAGAAACCAAGTTCCAAGTGACGACAATACCAAGGATCTAGAACTGGCGAGCTTGTCATTCTAAGGCGCCTTGATGCTGAATGCGACTGCAGAAGGTCGATGCAAGGCATCCATAGAAGAAATTCAAAGGAACCCTTAATTCAATGCTCGGGAATAATCTGGAAGAACTCGGTCCATCACGAACAGGACTAGCGACAAGAGAGAGCAAAGAAGGGAGAAGGGAAAAGGGGAGGGGGGAAGAGGGAAGAGAGAGAAAGAGAGAGCGTGACGGAAAGGGCCAGCGGGAAAGCAAAAAAGTAGACAATCAAGGAAGAGGAGAGAATGGAGGGGAAAAAGAAAAAAAGGAAATAGAGAAAAAGAGGGAAATGAGGAGGACCCATCCTGCCGGGCAAACGTCAACCCATAGCAGATTGGTCTATTTCGGATTTCGCAATAGTCGTAGGGCAAACCGGAGTCGATCAGTGGGGGACGCTTGTCGGGCTGAACGCCGAGTAGTGCAGAACTAGGCCACGCCCATCCATGACAGCTGATTCCGACGCTTTCCCTGCTTTTCTGAGGGGTTGCCGGGCACCGGTTACCCACTCGAAAGGGAGCCGTTAAAGGCTTCCCCAGACCCCCCTGAGAGGCATGGAATGGAGTAAGAGGATGCAGACTGCAACAGACAAGTCAGGTGGTCATTATGGGTGAGCTGGACCTCGTGTAGAGGCTGTAGCAGAAAGGAAAGAGGGGAAAGCAGATTCAGCTGGGTCCGCTATAGGGCAGTCTCTTGTTTGGAAATTGCTTCTCCGTGCCGTGGGCCACTGGAACGAGTTCAGTGTCGGTGCGGTTCTCCGGGGAGGACCTTGGGAGCCGTAAGGCTGCAGCGGGACCCGGCCGGTGATTTGAGGGAAATTCCTTAACCAGGAAATTAGCCCAGTATAGCGTGGATGAAGGTGGTTAGTTGTCCGAGAGAGAAGAGGGGATTGGAGGAAGGCTGAGGCTGAGAAGAGACCGGGACGGAGTGGCCGGGTTGGATGAACCACTCAAAGGCAGGTTGAACTGGCCCCTGGCACCGTAGGGCTGAAACTGGGATGAGCTGGACAGACGCCCGGACGGAGGAGAAGCGAGTCAACCGCGGACGATGGAGAGGAAAAGTGGGCATCGTGTCGTTGCTGGGCCCGAGCACTGCGAAGGTGAGCCATTCACATCCTCGCCTGCCCAAAATAGTAGTCCCCGTGACTTGCCCTGATTGGGATAATAGGGCTTAACCAGATCCACCTTGTGTGGAGGCCTGAGTCAGACGCGTCAGGCAACCATTCTGTGTCCATCTTTCCCGGTTAAGAAAGTGAACAAAACGTCTTCTTCGATGGAGCCAAGGGTTGTCCTTTTCGGTGTACTTCCATTAGAAAGGCAGTCGGTAAACTATCATGACAAATGGATTGATTGATGAAGATGAATTTATTCACATCTACAGTCAAGCTTTTACTGTAAGCTCCTTAGTACTTTCTGTGACTATCCATAACAATTTACACTGGTTATGGCCATGAACTAGGCCGATGACCACGTGTATAGAATTAGACTAAAGTATGACTAGACGACTACTACTCTTACTGCTATCTAGGTTATACCCTGAAACCAGCTGAAGAACTGTACTAGCATTTAGCGAGAGGATTTTAAATGCTTGCCTAAGATTGGCATCAGCCTAGAGGGCCTGGATCCCGCGGACACCGGCCATCCCAGAATATTGCATAAGTTGCAGCCTAGCTTATCATTGTCGTGCATTGGTGGACATCCTACCACTTTCCACATTATACAGCACACACATCGGACAATCCCCGAGATTGTCTAATACCAAATAAGCTAAAAGGCCAATGGAATAAGAACTGCTAGATCTTGATTCTTACTCTTATCATGATCTATATGAAACCCTGCCCCTCCCCCTCTCCTCTTCACCACCCACCACCAAACCAACCCCTATCTTACTATTATCTACCGCGCAATAACCCTCTCCAGAAAATCAAACCCCTCCCTCTGCAACTCCCATGTTCTCCCTCCAACCTTCATCCCCATCGCAAACGTATGATCCTCCCCGGGCACCTCCACCATCCCGCACTCGACCCCATTCTCCCTCAACACCCTCCACAATTCCCGACTGACCTCAATACTGACCTTCGTATCACAATCCCCATGCACAATAAACGTCGGCGGGAAGTCCTTCCCGACATGCATCACTGGATCCACCTCCCTCATATCCCTGTCAGGATAACAAGCCTGCAAGACCGTCCCATTAGCCACCTGCGTCAGGGCAAAGGCGTCCCGGGGCCGGGAGAAATCCGGGCCTTTAGCAGCGGGCTTCCCGCCAACGCCAGCAAGTTCTGTCTGGCCTTCCAACGAGATGGAACTGTCCGTGGGGACGGGGAACTCGTCATAGATCTTTTGCAGGAATGCAGGGTCGAGGGGTGGGAGAGTGCGTTGGACGTCCGGGAGAGGTTGGGTCCAGAAGGGGTGGGTAAAGTGCACGGCGCCGTAGAAGTCGAGGATTGCGGCGACAGGGCGGGGAACGGAGTAGCCCTGATTTGTATTATTAGTACGATTGGATATGCATATAGTAGAGGTCAAGAAGATAGAGTGTGGGTATACTCACCAACGACAACGCCAACGTTCCCCCCGATGACGTCCCAAATGCCATAACCCGATCCATATCAACGCGATACAGCGCTGCATCTGCACCTGCACCGGCAAGAAACGCATCCAAACCCCCATCATAAATCCACGCCAACAGGTCGCGGACATCGGTTATTGGCCCCTCGAGCATATTTACCTGCGGACAGAGGCGATGATTGGGTACCACGACTATCCAGTTCCGGGACAGGCAGTCGTCGACTTGCGGCATGGAAACCATGCGCGAGTGGCCGAGCATGAAGACGCCGCCATGGATGTTGATTACTGTTAGCTTCTTAGTAACTTGGCATATTGATGCAGTGGAGGGGAACTAAGACGTACAAACGGGATATTTCTTTGGTGTGTCAGTTCCGCTGGTGGTGGGTTGTTCTAGTGACGGGAGGTAGATGTCGGTGGTGATTTTACTGCCGTTGGCTTCTTTGTATTGCACGGTGAGGGGAGGTGGGGGCATGATGGCTTCTTCTAGGTTGATTATTTGGATATATAGATTAAGATAGTCTGAACTGATGTATAACAAAGAGGAGAATTGTAGCCCAAGGATTGCCCCAGATTTTAAAGTAGACTCGGTGCTCGGGATATCCGATTGCGGGGGAAAGCTTGGACTTTCCGACAGATTTCATCCATGAGGTTCTCTCCCGGGTTTTGCTGCCGAGAATAGCACTTCAATTACATACTACTAGTCAATAGTAATTATATGAGGAGCAATATAGTGATAACGTGTTAGGCTACAGGCTAAGGATAGGCAAGTCATCACTCATCATTCGTATCCTATGTGAACAACGTAGCTAACATGACCTTGACGTCGCTCGTTTCATTTCATCCTTCATCCACCTGGCTATACCATCCGAGACCGGTATAGAGCGGTTCTTGTCTCTTTTTTTCCAAATTCCTTCCTATTTCCTCTCCCACATCCCCAACTATCCCATCTCCTCCACGTAGCGCATCTGGCTCCTTCATGGCAGACTGCCATGATCCAGATGGGTGGTACCCTTTTTTTTTGTCTTTCTTGGTTTTCTTTCTTGCATTTTATAGCATCATGCTCAAAGGCGGCTTCAATTGGCGCGGCAGGTAACTGCCAAAGGAGTGACTAACCTCTTTGATGGAAAGAGGGGGGACATCCAAAGCACGGCGTGTTCGGTCTTTCGACGCGGGAAGCGACTCCCATGAGGGTGGGTAAAAATTGACCAAAGCAAGGCAAAAAGCAGCAACAAATTGTTATGATTTACCTGCGCACCACAATGCCTTGGCGACGGACACCGCTGCGGGCACGGCGGTACTCCTCATCACTGTCGGACTCGGAGCAGCTAGCCTCAGACGACTCGGTAACATAGCCGCATCGGCTGCCGCCACAGTCGAGCTTGACCCGGTCGCCCTTGCGAGTGATTCCGTAGCGCTCGCAGTGGCAGATCGGGGTGGGTGGGTCACTCATCGACGACAGGGATGACGGGGAAGTGCTGCCAGATGAGCGAGACGACAGGGACGAGCCAACCGAGCTGGGCGGGCTGTTGGAGAGCGAGTACTCGTCCGACAGACGGGAGTCGGCAAACCGCATGGTGAGGTCTTCCATGGTGGGAGCAAAGTCCGTCTCCCGGATTTGACGGGAGGCATAGGGCTTGGACGGCTTGGGGTGGTGGATCTTGGACGGAGAAGGAGCACGACCCTTGACGAAGTCTGTCGAGCCCCGGTGGTGCTTGGGGGCGGGCTGGGACGACTTCTTGCCACCGGGAACATCGAGGATGTTCAACTTGCGGCCGGTGGTGGGCTCAACCGTGTACTCAACAGCGGGATCATGAGAGACATGGTAACCATCCATGATGTACTATACGAAGTCAGCGTGGTGAGTCACTCAATAGCAGGGGGGCAAAGTCACATACGTAGTACCAGTAGCGGCCACCCAGCTTCAGCATGGAGGTCTGGAAGCGGAACTTGCCAGTCCATGCGCCTGGCTTGACATCATCCCGAGAGAGGGGGATCTGACGTGAGTAGTTGTCCCAGGAGCCGACCAGATGGACGGTCTTGACATTGGAGGAGGTGCGCAGCGAGAACTTGAGCTGAACAGCAGACATGTTGAGAGAGATTGACCAGGTTATACTAAGAATTAGATTATATGCAGCAGAATGAAGGCGTAATGGTTAAATAATCGTGTCAATGGCAGGAGTAAATCGTCGTTATAAAAGGCCGAGATGGAAAGACTACCAGAGTCGATTCAAGTCTAGCCTTGTGTTGGGTTGGTTGGTTGGCTGTGCAAATGTATAACAACGAGGCTTTCTTTGACAGGATCCAGTCCTTGACACGCAACCAGAAATATTAGATAGATGTTGGAATGAATAAATGACAAGGCCAGCAAGTCGTCTGAGCTGATATGACAAGAACACTAGAAGTCGACCGGCGACAACACAATGAACCGTCACGTGGTTGTATGGTTTAGAAGTATCCGAACAAGATGCAATAAAAGCAATCAAGCATTTACACAGAGCACAGCTCGTGTATTGAATGGGGCAGATTTGAGGGGGTTTTTTGATATATTGATAGTAGAAAGGCGGGGGGAGGGGATAATTAAGATGTAGTATAACAAGCGACGAAGAGACAAACAAACAAAAAACCAGTGCAGCCAGTGCACAGGGGGGATACTTCTAAACCACGGGTAGTCAGACAAGACAAGCTTGCTGAAGAAAGAAAGAAAGAAAGAAAGAGAAGAAAAGGGCAGAGAACGCCCTGGCGGCTACAGCAGCCTTTTAAGAGAGCGCCGGGGGGAAGAAGATGAGCGGATGAGAGAGCCCGGTTAGATAGTCAGTCCAGTTAGTCTGGTTAGTGCAATGCGTGTGATGGGATTGTCACCCGCCATCTTCTATTCTGGGAAGAGCGAGAGCAGCTGTTTGCCAGTCAAATCCCCGCTTCGTCCTCTCGCCATCCCAGCCGGCGGGTAATTCGTTGGTCTCATTGGCTTCACGGGCAGCCAGGCCTGCAGCAGACAGCCAACCATCCTCGCTGCTCGCCCTTCCATCGTCCCTCCATCTCCCCTCCATCAACAACATGCTTTTCTTCCCTTGCCGCCCTCCACGAGCACACTCTCCCGAGCCACTCACCTATCAATAGAAACCTCCCCAGCCAATCGCACTCACACCAGAGGGGAGACGGCCTGTCACCGACATCTCCATTCTGCAGCACCGAGGAATTTTAAGTTCGTGCACCGGGATTGAGGAGGGGGTTGGACGCTATCCCACCACTGAGAGAAGCAAGACACCACGCTACGACTCTCCACTACAACTACACCATGCAGCATCTCCCCCGATTAGGGCCCTTTCATGGCCGGCTCTTACGTGCAGAAATGCCATGGGATCTTTACCCCTCTTCTTCGTCTGCTTCTCTAGATCCAATTTCGATTCGATTCCGTAGGGACAAATCGTCAGCCAAGTACATCGCTGCTCACACCAGTCATTCCTCCAACCATGGTCAGCAAAAAAAGAGGAAACAAGAAAAAGTAATAACAATATATAGAAGCTCGAATCAAAATCATAAACCTCTGGTCCTCTGTACGCCGGAAAATGCCGAATCGATCTGGTCTTCGGTTGATATCACACGTTTTGGGGGGTGGAGAATTATTAGGAAAGAAAACAGGGGAAAGGAATCGGAGAGGGGGAAAGAAAAAGGCATAGAAACACCAGAAGACGGAAGAGATACCACGAAAGAGAAGAATGTGATGTACACAGATAGTCATCCTTCCTCCCCCCTCACCGCACGGACACGCCAGACCGGTTGGTAAACATGCGAGCGGCAATGTTCATCGAGGCCAGCTCTTGGAACAGAAGCTTGGCTGCATACGGGATATGCACCTGGGAGATTCGGTGCTTGTTGTTACACAGTCGACACTCGAAGAGTCCCTTCTTGAGTTTCCTGTGGTTCCATCATCGTTAGCTCATTTTGATAGACAAAATCAAGGTTATCTCTCCACTTACGCAACAGGGGTCATCAAGCCACAGTCGTCGCAGATGTGCACCCGGAAAGGATCGGACACGTCGAACAACCGCTCCTTCAGGAAAGCGCTGGCTCCGTGCGCAATCATACAATCGCGTTCCATCTCTCCGAATCGGAGACCACCGTCACGAGCACGACCTTCCACCGGCTGTCGCGTCAAGATCTGAGTCGGTCCACGCGCACGGGCGTGGATCTTATCGTCGACCATGTGGCGCAGACGCTGGTAGTACGTCGGTCCCAGGAAGACCTGCGCAACCAGCTTGCGTCCAGTGTGTCCGTTGTACATCACCTCAAAGCCACGGGACTGGTATCCGTGCTCCCGCAGGAGACGAGAGATCGAGTCGACCGTAACGTCAGTGAATGGCGTCGCATCTCCCTCAAATCCACGCAGCGATGACACTTTACTGAGTTGACACTCGATCAAGTGCGCGATTGTCATACGGGACGGAATGGCGTGAGGGTTGATGATCAAGTCGGGGCACACACCCTCCCGAGTGAAAGGCATGTCTTCCTGACGGTATGTGATACCGATGGTACCCTTCTGTCCGTGACGCGAAGCGAACTTGTCTCCAATCTGGGGAATCTTGGTCGTCCTCATGCGCACCTTCACAAACTTCAGGTCATCGTTGCTCGTAGACACCAAGACCTGGTCCACGATACCGTTCTCCGTACTTCTGAGAGGAGTCGACACATCCAGCTTGGTGTGGGCCTTGGTACGTTGACCAAGTTCCTCCGCTTCGGGTGCCAATGGCGCCGTCTTACCGATGATGATATCCTCACCGGATACACGAACACCAGGAGCAATGATACCGTCCTCGTCAAGCTTGTCGTAGGTACCCTTTCTCATACCGATCGTGTCCGATCTCATAGGCTTCTCGAAGCGTTCAACGACTGTGAGTCCGACCATCTTCTCGCTGTCGGTGTATGTACGGTAGAACAGACTGCGGAAAAGACCACGGTCAATGCTGCTCTGGTTCATAATAACCGAATCTTCCTGGTTGTAACCGGAATAACAGGCAATAGCAACAATGGCGTTCTGGCCGGCAGGAAGCTCACGGAACCGCAAGAATTCCATAGACCGTGTTGTCGCCAGAGGCTTCTGCGGGTAATACAGAATGTTGGCCATGGTTTCCATGCGCTGGTCAAAGTTCGTCAGGAACACACCCATAGCTTGTTTACCCATGGCAGACTGGTAGGTGTTACGAGGAGACTGGTTGTGGTCGGGGAAAGGAATGATACTGGCGCAGACACCCAGGATCATACTGGGGTGAATCTCGCAGTGTGTCCAGGTGTGCGCCTTTTGACTCAGAATGGAACGGACACGCTTGTTGGGATCGTGCAGCTCTTCTTCGGGAAGGGCATAACCGGCCTGAAGTTGCTTCGAGATCTCCAGATCCTCCGGTGTCATCACGATCATGATCGTCTCCTCCTCCTCGGCGTCGACGTACTCGACGACACCAGACTTCACCAAACCATCCCAACCGAAGTAGCGCTCCCTGCGATCTTCTGGATCCAGATCGGGGGGCAAATCCTTGTCTTGCTCCAGTTTGCGGATGTGTTCCTTATTCAGTACCAGCGAGCCGCAGTTCTCGCTCTTGGGATCATTGTCGACGACGAACAGTGGTCGACACACACGTCCAGCATCGGTAAAGATCTTGAACTCTCGCTCACGAATATCGCGAATCAAACTGACCTCGTGCGAGATCATGTTCCGGCGACGGAGGGAGAGCATGGTGTTCACCAGGTGCGCGGGATCTCTATGAATACCCACCCAGACACCGTTGACAAACACCTTAGTCGCATTTGGCGTCACCTGCGGCTCAAACTCTTCAAGCACTTCCATGTTGCGTTGAATCATGAAATCAATAATGGGCTCACTAGGCGTACCAACAGTGATGTAGCACATGAGCGCCAAGTTCTTGACCAGACCACAAGCTTGACCCTCAGGGGTTTCAGCTGGACAGACAAGACCCCAATGGGTGTTGTGGAGCTGACGAGGTTTGGCGATCTTACCGTCACGGCCAATTGGTGTATTGGTACGACGAAGGTGGGACAACGTAGAGGCATAGGTGTAACGACTGAGCACTTGAGATACACCAGCCTTGGCGCTGGCTGCCTTCTTCTGCTCTCCCCAGTTACCCGTGGCAAGAGCGTACTTCAGACCTCCTGTCAAGGTGCTGGCCTTGATACCAATGTTCAAGTAAATCTCCCTGTTCGTCTCCACGCATCTCTGCACGTACCGCTGAAGGTCACGAGTGACACGAGTGAACAGAACTCGGAAAAGATTTGCAAGAAGAGGACCAGCCAAGTCGAGACGCTTCTTACCGAAGTGGTCACGATCATCGACATCCCGACGGCCCAAAGCACACTGCAGGAGCCTATGTACCATGTAACCCAGGAAGAAGGCTTTGCGGGTTTCGCTACCTTCGCTCTGAGAGATGTGGGGAAGGAACTCCTTCTGCATGATTTCGCGTGCGTATCTGACACGACGCTCGTGGTTCATACTAGACTGAGACGATCCACGCTTGGCAATGAAATCCAGCGCCACCTCACGGTCCTGAATAACGAAACCTTCCTCAATACAAGGCTTCAGCATCTCCAACATCGGCGTGTCATTCCGGTCGTAGCAAATGTGGTTCAGAATATCCTCATCAGAAACCACACCAAGGGCTCTGAACACAACGACGATGGGAATGTCGGTCTTCACGTAAGGCAAAGTCGACCGAATCGTAGGACCAAATCCACCCTTGGCACTGTCACCCTTGGCAAACAGCTTCAGGGACAACTGAGAAAGGAGTCTTGATCCCTTCTCGACGGCACTCCGAATTTCCGCGACATAGGGCGTGGGACTAGGTGGTGCCTTCTTGAAGACTTGAACCGTGTTTCCAGCACTGCGCTCTTGGGCGATCAACACCTTTTCACTTCCGTTAATGATGAAATAACCACCAGAGTCGTAAGGGCACTCGTTCCAGTTGTAAAGAGCTTGCTCGCTCAAGTCCTTGAGGATACAGTACTTGGACTTGAGCATGATTGGCATCTTTCCAATAAAAACGGTCTCCTCCTTAGCCTGGTCAGCAGGGAGCTCCTTCTGCTCCCACTGCAGGTAAGTCCCGTGAGCTTTTTTATCCTCAGTCGATTCGGCCATATCATCATCATCTCGGTCGGCGACCAGACGTTCGCGACCTTCCATAATCTTCTTCGTAACACCGAGATAGAGGGGACTAGCGTATGTAAGATTACGCAGGCGAGCCTCCTGGGGCAACATGATAGTGGTCGCACCATCACCCTCAGTAACGGACGGTCGAGAGAGCATGACGGTTCCAAACTTCAGCTCGTATCGGCGGACAACCACGGGATCGACTTCATCTTCGGAGGGAGGGAGAGTCTGGTCGAGTGTTACTTGGCCTTGTTCCTCCACCAGCTCTTGCATTGTCGACGAGATAAATTCATCGAAAGAGTCCAGTTGTTGTGACACTAGACCCTTGGTGTCGAAGAAAGACGAAATGACCGTCCAGCAATCCTCCGAGGTGATGCCCTCGTCCATATCATCGTAGTACTCATCCTCGTAAGCATCTTCGTAGTCGGCCATCTTGGCGGATATGGGTCGTAAACGCAATGAAAAACCGCAGTCGATAGGACAATGAGCGCAAAGGGCGCGACGCGCTCGGCGGAAAAGATCCCACTCGAGGTGGTTGGACGACTGGCGTAAGTTGAATGCACCGAAGCAATCGTCGTGAATGAAACAGGTGAGGCCACTAAGCCGGAAGCCTCAGATGGATGGAAGAAAGAGAGATCCCAGGCCACCGGTGATGCTGGTGAAGGGAGCAGCTGGGGTGCTTCGACTCTCTCCGGGCGCTGATGGATCTTGCCTTGGGAAAGAGCCGCCACTAGCCTCGACCGCCTTCTGGCGCTAAGTTGCGAGCTAATCCAGATTTGTAGATCACGTGATATATATTCCATTAACAAATGATGATAGCTTCACTTCTCACTCACATTAACTACGACTGTAATGATTTACGAAACGTATCAGTGGCCGAAATATGCAGAGCATTGGCTGAGTATATATTATTATACATGATAAATTACAGGAACTGCAGAAGCGTCTCCAGCATCTCCTTACTATCCTTCTCGCCGGGGTCATCCTCGGAGAGCCCCTCCACTTGCTCTGTTCATTCAATTAGCATGGGATTCAAAAGGTGAAAACCCTTAGGTGCTTGGTACTTACCCTGTAAGGTTCGTCGAATCAGTGACAGATCTTCGTCGCGGTCAGCCAGAAGGGACACAATCTTCTGTTTCGCTCCGTCATCTTCGGCCACCAACCAGGCCAAAATAACATCGATAAGCTTTAGGCAACTGTTAGTACATACTGCAGCCACGGGGTATGCCGGAGGAGCAAACCTGTAAAGAGAAAAGACCGGCATCAAATCGCCTGGACAGCCACTCGGCCGCCATAATCTCTTGCTCCTCTTCCGTGAAGTTCTTTCGTTCTTTCTCGATAGCTTGCTCGACCGGTGTCACTCTCTGGACGTAATCCCGCCGCAACTTTATGAGCTTTTCGATCTTCTCATAGTCCTTCTCCATGAATTTAGCCAGTGTACGGATCCGGGGTGCAGAACCGCCCGGAAGTAAACGCAGCAGCGAAGCGAAAATGCCCAGTAGATGCTCCGTCGTCTCATTGTCTTGCTATAGGAAATTAACGCCAGCCCGTGAATTTTTTAAATACTCTGAGTACATACCTTCTTCTTGAACATTCCGAATACTGTACTCAAGCATGCTGCTTCCACAAATCGTTCACATGCAGGAGCGCCTGCCATGCCTCCTAAGGCATGGTCCAGGAGTCGTAAAGCCCGTTGCTTGCTGAACTTACCCTCCTTCAACATGATTTGCGCAAGCTCCACACCCTCAGCTTCCAGAAACTTATCCTTGCCGTAGTCCTCATTCACGATGTAGTTCAAGCTGCCGAACAAGTTTTCCACATATTCTTCTTCGTCAGAATCTTTCTCGGGATCACGCTTGCGGTATGCACTGAGCAATTGCAGGAGAGCTTCAACGCCATCCAGGCTAACGACCTTCTCTCTGTTCTTAGGAGTGGATTGTAGTAGAATGGCGAGTATCTCTGCTGCATATTGTTGATTTTGGGACACTGGTCTCTCCTTCTTTTGTATACGAGCGATAAGCCAGGGTAACAGGTTGGGGTCTTGCCCAATCTTCTCTGCGATAGACGTCTGTGATGCGATATTTTCCAAAACGTCTCCAAAGGAGTCAGTATACCTATCGCGTGCCTTGTCTGGGATGACTCACTTAGTACGTAGTACACGCCTGCCCTGTCGACCTCGGATTCTTCGTCGAGTCGCGAAAGGTTTTGCGCCAAGAGCTCGATAAGTTCGGCATCCAACTACACTAGTAAGTATTCGTTCAATAACAATTTGGAGGCAGATATACCATTGCGTTCACCAGACTGTCCCATTGATCTTGTTCGGCCTCCACATCTTCGTCCGTCAACTCGCCAATGATTTGAATCACATCAATTGCAATATCGGCATTCTCATGCGATAGCAGAGACATAAGCGAGCCGACGCAGCCCAGCTTTGCAAATTCGCTATATAAATATGGATTCTCGGAGAGTATAGAGAGGCTCTTGATTTCGGTATCGAGATCTGCTTCCGAAGCCATGAATCTAGGCATATCAGCATATTGGTTCAATAAAATAATCTGGGTTGCTTTCACAACACTTACTTTTGAGGGTCGTTTTCAAACTTGCCGCGGAGTTCGGCGTTCTTTGAAATCTTCTTTTCGAAGTTGAGGGCGAATCGTCGCAACCAGGTAACGTCGAACTTCTCCGGCTAAAGCTACTTCAGCAAATGATGCCATGAAGCACAACGAGTATGATTTCCTTACCGCAACATCTGCTTCCTCATGCTGATCAATATATTGCATAGCCTCCGCCGTTTGACGCTCCATGCCGCCGCCGAAGAAGCGTCCTTCTTCGTCATCAGGGATATCCTCGGCGTCGAAATCGGGAGGTAATTCAGGACCCGCGTAGCCATCATCCTCCTCGCCTTCATCCTCTACCATAGGCGCCTTTCCTTTTGATTTCACATCACCATCCACATCTAGTTTAGCCGCTTTGTAGAGCTCGTCTTGGTCGCAAGTCAGCCGCCGTCAAGTTGAAAGGAATGTAAAGGGGAGGAACGCACTCGGGTCTTTCGCGGAATCTAGTTTGCGCTTGGCACTTGCTGCCGAAGAGGGTTTCTAACTCGTCAGCGTCATTAGGATAGGTCACTTCATAGATAGCTTACTTTGAAGAGCTCATCGATGCTCGTCATGGTTGCGGCTTGCGCAGCTTGAGAGGCAGACCGGAAGAAGCACTTCAGACCCAACCACCAACACAGATTTGAATAAGAATCAACAGAGCAGAAAAAGGCGACTCTGGAGAAGAGAATTACGCCTATGAATTGATTGTTATAGATCCCTTTTTGCGGACTTCTCCTCGATCATTTGGTCGCGCACCAGGTCCGAAGAAGATACGGGAACCGTGATAAGCTAAAAGTGCAGCCGCCAAGGACCGAAAGATTTCTCGGAGTTCTCATCATTCCCGGCCTCACCCTGCCATCGAACATCGTCATTCTTGCTGCCAACACACTTTTGCATCTCAAGGACATTGCCTATCCTATACATATAATACATTTACAAAATGGTTCCCAGACAGCGTGTCGTCTCTGGCCGTCAGCAGAAGAGCTTCTTCAGCACTGCCTATGACGAAGTCACCCACCCCGAGAATGCCACCATTGTGAGAAGCGTTCTGGTCTTCGGCGTAAGTCCTACGATTCTTGGGCGATCTGTACAGACCATGAAATGTCAGGGATGATCTAATATGAATGTGTCTACAGGCCGGCGTCGCTTTCCTCTACAGCAGCCTCAGCGAGCTCCTCCTTCCTCCGTAAGTTGAGACACGATCCCATCCATCGCAGTCACTGCAATAAATTTCGGCATTATAAAAATAATTACTGACGGAAGAAGTATGTAAACGGATTCTCACCCGTTCGTTCGCATGTCACTGTGATATGAAATTGTCGGCTGTCTCGAAGTGTTGTCGATGCCGATTACGATACGCGGACATTTTTTCATCCTTCTTCCTCTAAATTCGATTCTAATGAATACGTGTATTATACTGTGTGCTTCATGGGCATATATGGGCTTCAACGTTATGTGGCTAGGCTTGTCATCCGGGTCCGTGAAGGACCAACATTATGTGGCGTTGGAATAGATATGATCTCCGGAACACTTCCCGGTCTCTCCTCCGCATAATTGCATATGCTTTCTAGGGCTTCTGCTCTGTAGTTGCCTTATCTCTTCATGTCTTATCGCTGGTCAGGTAACTCTGGCCCTTGTAGACGGATACGTCTGCGAATCGGGACATGGGTGCCGATCAAACGGTCAGTAGTAGTGGTTACAGCGTAAAGTTATGGCTTTCAAATGAATTACTTGGCACATGAGTGCAACTGCACTGTATAACGAGCACGAATACTCAAACAAAGATGTGTTTTTTCAGTCAAGTCCATCAATTGATGGGATGTCCGGCAACATTTCGCCAGCGAGGTGAGCTCCTCTCCTGTGCAGAGTGCAATGCTATGAAAGGATAAAGAGAAGCCTAATAGTCGCCCTGTTGAATATACTTAAGAGGAACGACACCAGTGAGTGGCCATCTGCCTGAGGCAGCAAGATCGCATCGTGACCGCCGCGGCACTAGAACGAAGTTCTGGACAGCGAATATTTTCCATTCAACACCGCTCCACTTAAGAAACCAACAACCCCAGCGTATCAGCGAATAAACTCTCTCTTATACAAGCGCTTATTTAAGCGGCTGTATTTCTCTCATCAAATTGGCGGGGAAGCCCGCAAAAGCCCCCACATCCGGCCGGGTCCCGAACACCGCCTTCTCTAGTGTCGGGGAGGAGATAGTCCATGGGTGTCTATTACCAACCAACCCCAGACGGCAGGGCGCGGCAACGATAGGCAACTGCTAAATTCCGACCCTCTTATGCTGAATGTGATCTTCTGCGCAGCTGCAAATGCCGTTGGCTTTGCTTATTCTCTAGTATGTTGACCGCCAAACGCAAGCCGTCAAGTGCGGACTTGGGCGACGATAGACCAGTGGCGAAGAGAAGTAACAGCCTGAGCCATAATGCTCATGCACCTTGGTTGCAAGACTCCAGACCCTCTCGGAGTTGGCGGGCTCTGGGAAATCGTGGGGTACGGACTTCACTGCCACTAGAAAACATGGTCTCGACTGTGCGTGATCTCATCGACCCTGACTTTGACCCTCTTATTGCTCTCCTCGACGATGAGCCGCGCTTTCTGAAGCCTCTCCCTTCTCGCATCCCACCGGAAGACCTAGAGTTTCTGCGATTCCGGGGGGCTTTGTCGATCCCAGAGAGTGGTCTGCGGAATGAGCTACTGCGATGCTATATCAAATGGGTGCATAGCTTTATGCCGGTGTTGAACCTACAGGAATTTCTCCGATGCGTTGCGGAAAATGACCCCAATGGTAACATTAGTCTCCTGCTGTTTCAAGCAGTGATGTTCGTGGCGACAGCCTTCATCGATCTGCATCATTTACAGGCCGCTGGGTATGCTACTCGGAAAATTGCCCGTAACGTGTTTTTTACGCGGTTAAGGGTATGTCTCGCTTGATAATTCATCCGTGTACTTAGCTAACCAGTCAATATAGCTCCTCTACTCACTTGACTGCGAAGATGATCGAATAGTTATACTGCAGACTCTACTACTTATGACTTATTGGTCTGATCATCAAAATAATCCGCAAAGAGATATCTGGGACTGGATTGGTGTCTGCAATATACATGCACATTCGATCGGGTTAAACAGAGACCCTTCGTCGTCGACCAACATGGATCCAAGGATTAAGAGGCTGAGGACCCGAATATGGTGGAGCTTATACTCGCGAGACCGTCTTATTGCGATGGGGCTAAGACGCCCGACGCAGGTAAACGAAGGGACAAGCAATGTCCCCATGTTGAAGCTGGAAGACTTTGACTTCGAGTCGTTCCACCCTAGCGTGATTGAGATGTTTCGTTGTCGTCAGCTGGAGGATGTTACTCACCAAAAACGCCTGGCGACTATGTTTATCGAAAAGGCCAAATTATGCCAGTGCATCGGACGGGTTTTGTTCGCCCAGTATACGCCATCACAATGTCAGTTCGGTGTGACGACACGAACTACCATTAGCCTAGTCCCTCGGCAGGCATCGGAATCCGAATTGGCCCGGTGCAGCCAGCGGTTAGAGTCCTGGCTGAGCGCACTACCCAAAGACGCCCAATTCATTCCTGCGTCAAGAACAAACTTCCATGACGGAGAAGACGTCCTTCTGCTCCACGGTGCCATGGTACGAATGCTGTATCATGCTACCACAAGCGCACTGCATCGTCCCTGGGCCTTCACGCCCAACAAGGATCAGTCAAAATCACGCAGGGAGTTGATTCAAGCTGCGCAAACGAAGATGCATGACGCCGCCGTTGGTATCACCCATATCATCCAAGGTCTCAATCAGCTCAACCTCACGCGATTTCTCCCACAATCCGGTGTAACGGTTATCATCCCAGCCGCTGTGGCCCATCTGACAAACTCCTCATCTGGCAATCCCGCCACCCGAGAATCCAGCATCTACAACTTTCAACGCTGCATACAAGTGCTTCAGGGCCTTAGAGACATCTATCCTGCAGCAGACATGGAGGTCGCGAACATCGAAGCGGCAGTTAAGCTACAGTCCGATAGTGCAAACACCTTCCTCCGAATCATGCAATACACCAACAACTCCGGTTCTATGTCGCAGGGCCAATCACAAGAACACGCACGAAAACAAAGCACCATCTCAAACCCACACACCATAGCATCAGCAGAAGACCGAACCTCCAACCACTGGACCCCTCCCCAAGACGAGCCCGACCCAACCAACAACCACAAGCAATCCGAACCTCAACATTCAGCTGGTCCAACTAAGCAACAACAACAACAACAACAACAACGCACACCAACCAAAAGACACTCCAGCACAATTAACCCACCCCCCATCTTCAACACCACCAGCACCACCAACAACACAAACAATCTCACCAACCCCCTCCCCAAACAAGCCGAACCCACCCCACCCAACGACTTCGACGACGACCCCATATCCAACTTTCTGAACGACAACAACCCCACCATCTCCCCCCGAAACACCCAAACACAACCCAATCCCACCTTCGACCAAGGCTCCGACCAGTTCCCCTTTGACTTTGACCTCGACCTCGACTCCTTTGCCGCCGACTTCCCGCCCCAAAACCCACCATCCACCAACCCCAACCCCGCCTCTACTTCCAACCCCGACGCCTCCCCAGACCTCGACATAGATTGGGCTAGTGAGCTGCTTAGATGGACCGGACCGGGTCCGGAGGATGCATTGACCAATAATAATGATCTGTTCTCGCCGTTTGCTCCGACTCCTAATGTTGAGAGTACCCCGGGGCAGAGGTCCATGAGTCATGTGACTGGAGATATTACAGGGGATTTAGATAGAGATTTGGGGTTTGTTCCTTCTGACGAGGAGATTTTTTAGGTTGTTGTGAGAGGGAGCTGAAGTGGTTGTTCTTGTGTGTGGTGTGATGTTCTTTAGTTCGTGTAAATATATACATATATATATTTCGGAAGTGGTGCTTAGTACAGACACTGGCAGCACCCTGTAAATAGAGCACTGTTCCCCAATACAAGTGGTAGTAATGAGGTTTTCGAAACACCATTCTATTCAACACAAATAGTATTGCAGAAAATTTTAACCCTTAATTCTTATGTAGTCTAGGTAGTACTAGTACTCCGAATAACTAACTACTATATAAAATGATGCTCAACATGACTGAAAGAAAAAGAAAAGACTCGTCGCTCGCCCTGTACATTAGCCACCAAATATGCGATCCGTAAATCGTTGAAACTGAATCTAAATGACTGCGTCTTAACCGACTATAGTTATGAGATCAGTGAATATGTTTGATGGATGGCTCGCACTACTTGCGAGCCCAGCGGTTGCTCTCATCGCCCTCTTCCCATTGATGCTCGACGTAGCCAAGCTTCTTTTTGACACTTTGTACGGTCTCCTTGTCACCGGTGTTCTTGCCCATGTTGTCGCTGAGCTTGACGGCTGGGCGGCCGTTAGCGGTGGCAATCTTGATGACGATGTTGAGCGGCTTGGATTTCGCGCCGTCGGATTTGTTCGTGAAGTCGTCTGCGAGGATAATGTTAGACTTGGCTTATTGAAGGCACTGGGATAGAATCCCATATAGTTCAGGTATGTGGGTAAAACGTACTAGTGAAGAAAGTTCCGACACCGAAGACAGGTTTGAAGCCGGCTTCCTCGGCAATCACCTTGTATTCAAGACAGTGCTCGATGTCTAACGAGTCGGAGAAGACAATAGTCTTCGGATCCTTGACTCCCTCTCTGTCGTAGAAGTCCCGCACCATCTTCACAAAGTACGTGGGGTCGCCAGAATCCTGGCGGACACCGGTGTAGACCTGGGCGTAGGTCTTGTTGGCGTGCTCGCCTTGAGCATCGTTGACTAAAGGAGCCGCGATTGGGGGTTTGGTAGTAGCCTCGCTCTGTACTGCTGATTCTGTCGTGGTGCCGGGTCCGGAGGCGGTGGTAGAGACTGCGCCAACACCTGCACTGGTGAAAGCAGGAATGGGTTTGCGGAACGCGTCGAGGAAAGCAGGCGTGCCAAACGTGTCAGTTAGTGCAACACCCAGGACCTGATGTGCGTTAGTTACTAGGGTCAGGACGATCAAGGGTCTGCGGACTTACTCCTTCACCAAAGCAGCCAAGCCAGTAGCGCAGGGCCATCTCGTTCGCGTTCTCGTAGTCGTCCGTGATGGCAGCAATAGTCATGTACCACTCATGGGCTACAGTGCCCACAGGCGCCACTCCATACTTCATGGCAAAGTGGACGTTACTTGTGCCGGTAAACACTCCCTTCCATCCTTGCTTCTTTCCTTCTTCCGCGGCCTGCATTAATCCCTGCATGACCAGATCGTGGGTGTGGTAATCGCGCCGTCTTCGAGAGCCAAATTCCGAGAATATGCAACCATTCTCCAACAAGGCACATCCTTTCCGGAATGCCTTGTCCTCCTGACAGCTGTAGTCCCAGTCCTTATCGGTGAACATGAAGTAGGCCTGACTTGTCAGAGCCAACAGCGGGATCTCGTACAAGATCGTTTCCACCCACAGACCCTTGATGACGTAGTTGACGTTGCCGAGATCATCTTCGCTGCCAGTATCCTGCTCCGGAGTGAAGTGAACCTCGATCTGTTCTGACGGCTTGAGCTTGAGGTTGGTCAGGTAGTCCAGGTAAGCGTGATTGAAGTACGGGCACCATTTCTTGAGGAACTCGATCTCTTCATTCGTGACTCGGATATTTGCAAGCGCTGATGAAGCTAATTGTCAGACTATTCCAGACGTCCGACACACCATCGATTTACATACCATCCAACTGTGCCAAAAGCCATTTGTAAGCACCCCGCGTTAACTTCATATCCGGGGTGCGATTTGTGAAACCATATGTGACATCTACATTCGAGAGGAACGTTAGCCTGGACCACGAGACTTGAGAGAGCTATACCGAGTCCTTACAAACATCTGGGAAGTACTTGAGGACGGCGCATTGCATCGTCAATTTATACAGGTCCGTATCAAGCAACGAGAAAATACCCTCCGGGAGCGGAGGGGTATTATTTTGAGCCATGACGAGGTAGTTTGGACCACACCGCAAAACAAAGGATAGAGCGCAGAGAGGAATTCCAAACGAGGGACCTGAAGACAGGGACCAGAGGTGCGAGATAAGGATGAAGCAGGTAGACGAATTCGGAGGAAAGTACTCAGAAGAGAAATCTCCCATTGCGTCTCTGCGCGGGGGAATCACCGACTGCCTGACGCCGTTTGCACTGTTTGCACGCTGGCTTTCGTCATCAGCAAATCGCCGTCCCACATCTTTTTTTCTATATTGTGATCTCCGAATTAATTGGGTTTACTTGAACAGGCAGTCTTGGAGTTAACGCAAGAAGTACTCTAGAAAAGGGATGTCATGGGTGGCGCTGGTAATGCGCATTTCCATCGTCGCAGGAACCCCTCGGGGAACCCCTCCGTCTGGGCCTAGACTGCATTGCACATGCATCCATCTTGCCAAGTCTACATGGCATGAATATGAAAATGCGAGTTAGTCATTCCAAACTACAGATTATATGTATACTTGAAGAGTAATCAAAGCTATGAGCGACATAGTTCCCGGCAGAAGCAGAGAACAAACTATACAGCATAGTGGCTGCCAGAGCTGTAAGGCAGCAATACCCCGCCCGTTTGCATAGAGACTGTGGCTGGAAGATGGCTGGGCTTTGATGAACATGAAGATAAAAAACCCGTCAGCTACATTATTGCTTGTGTTAACGAAACTCAAGCATTCCAAATCTTAGTTAACCTACTACAAAAGCTTTGACAGCCAAGAGTTAACGTCTTTTGGGTCTGACAGTTCGGATCGCCCATCTGTGGCTTGCCTCTTTCTGTGGCTGATACTCCGGGGCCGGAACATTCTAGATCCGGCAATCCTGTCGCTCCCTTCGGCGTCCCGTTGTTATCCCCGATCAATGCTTCACAGCGCCACCACCTCAGCCTGTACATACTCATCATTTATTCCATCCGTGACGACACCGCGTTGAGTTACCGAGTAGCCTGCAGCGGGCTGCATCGCATTCTACCCGTTGTTCAACACGCATCCGGTCGCAGCCCGAAGGCCGCCCGATAGCGGTATCATCAAGGCCCGATTCATATCGGGAACAACGACCAGAGAACGCGCAAGATGTCGCAGGCCCAGGACGATCCCGCGGCGGTTCTGGAACTGTTCGTTCACGATGTGGCGAACCTTCCAGCTGAAATCAACCATCTGATGGAAGAAATTCAGGCCAAGGACAAGATCATCCAAGAATGCCGCACGACCATCAACTCCCGCGACACCAGTCTCCAGAAATTCATCCGATTAAACGGCAGCTTAACGCCCAACCCGAAGGAAGAACAATACGGCAAGGCCATAATACAGAACCTCGACAAGTCTCAGCAGCTACAGGATGAAAAGATCCAACTGAGCGAGAAAGCGTGTGTGTTGCTGGACCGACATATTAGGAAACTGGATATCGCAATCCACAAGCTGCAAAGTAACGGCATGCTCTCGAACGACCCTCCCATCCCCTCCCTTTTCAACAACAAAGACCAATATCGCGACCCTCCCAAGATCTTCTTCCCCGATTCCACCGTCGAAAATTCCTCCTTCCCGTCTCCTCTCAATAGCGCCTCCGCAAACGCCAATGTCATATTAGGCGCCACTCAGAAGCTGAATTCCCTGGGCCGAAACGCCGCCGCACTCGCCCTGAACTCCCCGACTGCTGTGCGAAGCTCCGCGCCAGCAACCCCCTCAGGAACAATCCACTTCCAACGACAACAGCGAGAATCATCCGCCGGCGCAGTGGAGAACAAACGCCGGCGTCTCAACGCTTCACTGGGAACACTTCCTGCGGCCTCGTCCAACCTCCGACAATCGTCTCTCGGTCCTGGTACACCCAAAGCCGGAACCCCCGCATCAAGTCGAGCCGGCAGCGCAGGTCCGCGTTCAACAGCCTCAACCAAAAAGGCCTTAACCAAGAAAGTGGCCCCGCACCAACAAGTCAAGAAGATCAAAGCCTCCGGGCTCAACGGAAAGCACACGAAGCGGTCCTCCAGCGCAAGCGGTCGTCTCAAAGTCAGCGGGACAAAACAATCACCATCCGCTGCTGGAGGAGACGAAGACGAGGACGACTCCATGCTCAGCAGCGCTGATATCTCGGATTCCGAGAACGCCGACGAGGGTAGAAGAGACGAAGACATGGAGGACGAGGAAGAAGACGAAGGCAATGAAGATACCAAGGTTTATTGTACGTGTCGCAGTGTTAGCCATGGAGACATGGTTGCGTGCGATAACGACAATTGCGAATTTGAATGGTTCCATTGGAAGTGTGTTGGCTTGACGAGAGAACCCGTTGGAAAATGGTTCTGTCCACAGTGTTCGGCGAAATTGCAGGCTTAGTTTATATAGTTATACCCCCTTCTTTCTCTTTTCTCCGTCTGTGTGTATTATAATGACCATATAGGATGTTATGACGGCGCTTATTTTTTTTCTTTTTCAGTCAATTCAGGACGCATTCGACTTTCAAAACAGTCTTATAATAGTAGTAGCAACTAATAGGCAGTAATTGTAATAGTTCTTTGTTTCATTGTGATGTACTACAGCAGCCCATCCGAACAATCGATACTATATACTACACCAGGAGAAAACAGTCCAACACGAAGCCAAAATACTAGTTAGTAGTAGTAGATAGCTAGTAAGTAGCACCAGGCAATTGTCAAACCGCCATCCATCCAATCCCTTCCCACCACTGCCCTTCGCTTTTTCATCCTTTTTCTTTCCCAGAAAAAATAAAAGCCCTTGAAAATTCTTTTGTTTTTAGTTGCCCACATTGAGAAAAGAAGACCGTGTTCCATGGCCGATCCCAATATCAGACGTGAACGCCATCGCTATGCAAACAAACATCATCTGGCGCATGCTGCGCTAATTGTATACAGGAATTGTGTGATATAAGGTGTAACGAGTATGTGAGGTAGAAATGATGTGAGGTAGATAATAAGAGAGAATCAGAATCCGAGGGCCTTTTCTAGCCAGGGGTCAAAGTATTCGCAACTCTCGGGACTGACAGCCCCGCCGGGAGCGCAGAGCTTGAAAACCGGACAGTTGCCGCAGGGCGCTTCGGTCATGCCGTTCTTGACTAGCCTGTCGTCGATGCCTGCGTCATCGGTCCGGGGCTTGCGCGCTTGTTGAGACTTGACTTGTTCGGGGTTCTTGACGGATTTGTAGAATTCGCCGTTGTTCAGAGATACTAGCTTGTTGTCGTAGCAGAGCATCTCCAGGAGCTGCGTGATGCTCTCCTCGCCCAGACGGACCGGTGTGATGCCACTCTCGTTCACGGCAGCTGTCAGCATAGGTATGGTGGGGTAGCCCTGATACCCGGCTGGGAAGGGGAGGTATTCCTTCGGAGCGCCCTCTTGTTTGACAGCTAGGCTTCCATCCGCGGTCTTCATGCGCTTGTTTCGAGGACCGTCCGAGGAGGAAGGGGCCTCGTACCAGCTCTTCCGGCTCACGGAGTATTCGATAAAGCCGGCGACGCTGTTGATGAAGTTCTCGTCCAAAACTCCGTCGGTAAACCAGGCTCCACCAGTCACGTCTTCACTTGGGGCGAGGTTCGCCAGCATGTACATCTTCCGGCTGGGGAATTTGACATTGTGGACGCTCTTGATGTAGCTTCTCGATTCCAGCGACTTGAGGCAGCGATCGAGTATGGACTTGTGAAGGTTGGTGCGGTTGCCGATAGCGCGGACCCAAATACCGGACCGTCCTGTCGAATGGATGACATTGTAGACCAGACTCTCGTCGGGGCTTAGGTCTCGAAGTCTAAACAGGTGGGTTAGTGGGTGAGAGTTCCTATGTTGATTTCATAGGTAGAAGAATAATCCTACTTTTCAGCATCATCGCGCGAAATAATCTTCCAGGCTAAGCGGTCATTTTTGCCCTGGAGGAGCCGAAAGAGCTTCTGGTCGACGAGCGACTGGGTGCAGTTCAAGAGAAGGGCGAGATCATTTTTGGGGACAATGTTCAGACCCAGGAGATCTTGCTGATAGAACAGATGATCGGAAGGGAACTGGTTAAGACAGGCGTCGTAAAGTCGAGAGGCCAGTTCGTTGACCGAACTGCCTGACGCCCCCGCGGAGGCCATTTTCACCACGACGATTGTAGAGGAGTCGTTAAAAGGAAACTATCACCGGACGGGCTCGTGAAGGGGCATGATCAAGAATGCATCCCAGGTCGGACGGTCGCTGCAGAAGCCGGGACAAAGCGATGCCCGGGGAGTTGGCAGGGAAAGCAGGCGCAAAGTTGACGGTCGTCGAGAGGGAGAATCGAGTTTCGCAGGCCGAAAAGAAGATAGATGTTTTTGGCGGCTTTTCTTTCTCTTTGGGTTTAGCGGGGGAGTCACTTTTGGCCCGGAAGGGTTTAGGGCCAGTCCTAGCTTTGACAGCCTGTGTCTGCCTTGTTGCCGTGTTGCCTTACTGCCTCATGAGCTGCTGTATGGTGGCCTCAGGCTGGAACCCTGTCTCTCGGAAATTTCGAGAAGCTCCCGGCAAAAGAGAAGAAGCTCCGGCTTAAACTGATCTGCCCGGTCCAGCTGCCCCCGTCTCTCACTTTATTCCCCAACTCACCACCACGCTTCCATAACTCTTTCTTCTACATCAGATACCCCTTGGAAGTTATACAGCATGGCTGACGCTTTGAAAGCTGAAGGCAACAAGGCCTTCTCCGCAAAGGACTATGCTACTGCAGTGTATGTATCTCTCTCCCCCCGGTTTACCCCGCTTGCAAAAAGGTCTGGGAGGGATCTCTGCCATGAACCGCAGCTGATTGGCCTATAGTGAGAAGTTCACCCAAGCTATCGAAATTGAACCCTCAAACCACATTCTCTACTCCAACCGCTCGGCTGTCTACTCTGCGCAATCCCAATACGAGAAGGCTCTCGAGGATGCCAACAAGGCTACGGATCTGAAGGCGGACTGGTCGAAGGGATGGCTCCGCAAGGGCGCCGCTTACCGTGGTCTCGGCGACCTCTGTAAGTCGAAGAGGTGTGTTGTGGTGAGACCGGATCTAGGTTACTAATTGGTTTTTAGTGGCTGCCCACGATGCGTACGAGGAGGCCCTCAAGCTCGAGCCTACCAACGAACAGGCCAAGACCGGTTTCAATGCCGTCAAGAGGGCTATTGAGGCCGAGGCTACGGCCGACGGTGTTACTGGCGACCCTATGGGAGGACTCGGTGGCATCTTCAACGACCCCCAGATGTATCAGAAGCTGGCCAGCAACCCCAAGACCTCCCCGCTCTTGGCCGACGCCGACTTCATGGCCAAGCTCCAGCGCATTCAGCAGAACCCGAACAGCGTTGGTCAGGAGATTCAGGACCCTCGCTTCCTGCAGGTTATGAGTGTGTTGCTGGGTATTGACATGAGCTTCGGTGCTCCCCCGGAGGGCGCTAGCTCTGCGGGTGCTGCCCCCGAGGCTGAGGAGGATGTGCCCATGCCCGATGCTCGCCCTGCCGCTGCTGAGAAGAAGAAGAAACCTGAACCGGCTCCCGAGCCCGAGCCCGAGGACGAGGAGGCGATCGCAAAGAAGAAGGCCCAGGAAGCTGCTGACGCCGAGAAGAAGATTGGTAACGACTTCTACAAGAAGAAGCAGTTCGATGAGGCTATCGAGCACTACAACAAGGCCTGGGAGCTGCACAAGGACATTACGTACCTCAACAACCTTGGTGCTGCCAAGTTCGAGAAGGGTGACCTTCAGGGAGCCATCGAGACCTGCCAGAAGGCCATCGAGGAGGGCCGTGAGCTCCGTGCTGACTTCAAGGCTCTTGCCAAGTAAGACACCTGTGGGTGCGATTTACCGATCTGGTTACTAACTCAGTTGTCTGCAGGGCTTTCGGAAGAATCGGTACTGCACACGAGAAGCTGGGCGACCTTACCCAGGCCATCGAGTACTACCACAAGTCGCTCACTGAGCACCGCACACCCGACGTCCTGACTAAGCTGCGCAACGCCGAGAAGGCCAAGGACAAGGCCGAGAAGGAGGCCTACGTTGACCCCGCCGAGGCCGAGAAGGCCCGTGAACTGGGTCAGAAGAAGTTCCAGGAGGCGGACTGGCCTGGTGCCGTCGAGGCCTTCACTGAGATGGTCAAGCGGGCGCCCCAGGACCCCCGCGGCTTCTCCAACCGGGCTGCCGCCCTCATCAAGCTGATGGCCTTCCCTCAGGCTGTTCAGGACTGCGACGAGGCCACCAAGCGCGACCCCAAGTTCATCCGCGCCTACATGCGCAAGGCCCAGGCCCTGATCGCCATGAAGGAGTACAACAAGGCTCTTGACGCCTGCACGGAAGCGTCCGAGCACGACGATGGTACCCACGCTCGTGAGATTGACCAGCAGCAGCAGAAGTGCCTGGAGGCTCAGTTCAGCGCCCGTGCCGGCGAGACCGAGCAGCAGACCATGGAGAGAATCCAGAACGACCCCGAGGTAAGTCATGACTACCAATTAAAGCGCTTCCAGGCTTTCTTGACTAACTCTCCACATAGATCATGTCCATCCTCCAAGACCCTGTCATGCAGAGCATTCTGCAACAGGCCAAGAGCGACCCTGCCGCTCTGCAGGAGCACATGAAGAACGCCCAGGTGCGGATGAAGATCCAGAAGCTGATGGCGGCCGGTGTCATCCGCCTGGGACGGTGAGGAGCGAGCAATATAAATGAAAGCCCACACATTCCTAGTAATGCAAATGAAGAAAAAGCGGACCGGAATTGACACGGCGATTTAATTGATGTCTTTGTTTTTTTACGGCGATTACGATGCATGTGTTTCTAGTGACATGAGATGACATCCGAATTGATTATATATCAGCATACTACAACGTTCATGAGATTTAATTACTTAATAGTCAAACGTAGAGACTAAACCTACCCTAGCTTAGGAGTTAAGAGGAAGACGGTGACGGCGATGACCGAGATCCAAAATAGTCCGCCACGCCACATGCTTGCTCGCTCCCCTCGCTTGATACTACGGCAAAGCCACATCAGATTGCAGTCCGCCCTTTTCTGGATCCAGATCTGGCTCTAGATCCAAATCGGATAGCCGATATCCGTTCCAGTGACCAGTTCCTGTAGAGTCAAGAGCAGCAAACTAAATGGTAGTACTCCGTACTTAGATAGTGTGGGTAATCCCCGATCCCCGACGCCTTCCTTTCCTCTTTCCGCGCAATCCAGCCACACCACCACACACCATATATATTGCTTGCCAGGTTAGACATAAGCCGAAGGCAGTTATAACAACTCCGTAAAGTATCAGTTCCGACTCTTCCGACCGATTATATCCATGTTTGACTGTAGTGTACTACTTTTAGATAAGATATTGACCACGAAGGTACTCTGTATCTCTTTCTCTTATTCCCCC